TAGAACATTACACTAACTGCGGCATCTTAGCACATTGAAACATTAATTACATAGCTACACAAAAGAAATAGCTAAAAGAAGCACAGAGCGAAGATAGCCGACCGCCATTACGTACAAAGATGGCTGATATAATAATTCCCGCCACATTCTGATTGGTTGCTAAGCTGAAGGGCACATTTACGAAATTGAGTTGCGTTTAATTGCAGCCTCGAAATCAACCAAGTTTATGTGCCTTAAAGATAGGTGATCTGGTGATTTACGATTCTTTCGGATCTTTAAAAATAATAAACGGTGAATGATACTCATGAAATTATCAGGGAAAATAAAAGTTGTAACCAGGAGGAGTATAACTTCCTACACATGTCTATAATAAAGACATGAACCTTTACCAGTGTGGGGGCAAATCCGACTGCGGTGTTTTCAGTTTTCAAGAAATTCGCTCAGCTGGTTAAACTGATGAGTTGCACAGATGATTGTGTCTCTAAACCCCACTTAAGCTGACAGTGTTCTAAATTGTCTACCAAATGAGCAACTGTTAGAGAAAAATACTGAAACAATTTATCATAGACAAAGATAACCGCGAGAAAACAACACTATTTAGTGATAATCATGAGTCACAAGGCATCTAGAAAGCATTATGAATTTAGGATAAGATAGTCTAGGATAGGTATTGTTGAGGTCGTTGAAGTGAATTGCGACGTGCAGAAACGTGTGAATTATATCGTAGGATAGGTTGAGCGAAGATGTGTGGAAGAGCGCCAGTTTGTTGTGAAACGTTTATAGCTAAGAATGAAGCTTTGAGCTGTCGGTGAAGTCTTTCTACCAACCCGTTTGCTTTTGGGTTATAGACGGTAGTTCGGAATCACGTGTTTCCTAGTAGTGTAAACAGACAACGGAAAAGTATGAATTCGAGCTGGCGTCCAAGGTCTGTAGTGATAGCTGAAGTGTGGCTGAAGTTTGCTACCCATCAGTCAACGAATGTGCGAACCACTGTTTTAGTAGTAATGTCACTGATCGGTACTGCTTCTAATCATCAAGTGAAACGGTCTACGCAGGTTAAAAGATAAGAGTAGCCATTCGAATCTGGTGAGGGCCTTACCAAATTCTAATAAACATGATCGAAACGAGCGTGGGGATTTTTGAAAGAGCTCAACGGACATCTGCAGTGGCTTATCTTTTCGGAGTTCTGGCAGCTTACACACGAGCGTGTTTACTCCCTGACATTTCTATTTATAATAGGCTAGCAAAATCTTTCTGCCATGGTTGATAGTTGTTCGAACACCTGGATGAGAACGCTTGTGCAACGTACTGAATACGTTGCGTCGATAATGTTCCGGCACTATTGGACGATCACTACGTGTGGATGTGTTACATTGTAAGGTTCGCTTACCTGTTCGCATCTGTTTAATACTCGGCTTCAGCGTTGTGTATGATAACTGGTACTGATGATAGGTGTATTCTTTTTGAATCTGAAGGATCTCGAAAAAGTCGTTTCCTTTGGAAACTGTTCAAAGAAGGTATACGAAACAAGTCGTCTGCAACTCCACTCTTTGTGTTGTATATCTGAAGTAGGTTGAAAAAATTAATCTAGTTGTTGAGATTTTCAATGTGTGTACTTGCCTGAAGACGAGCCTAAGGAGAAGACAAGAGGTTTATAGTTGGCAAACAGAATGAATTCCACAGTGTTGAAAGTACCGTGCAACATGACACATGGCTGGGATTCCCCTACCGAAAGTGCTATACTGCGATTAGTGTTTGGAAACCGTCTTGAGAAGAATGCTAAATATTTTTAAGTGTGACCAGCCGATTGTGGTTAGTCGCCTCCGATTGGCAAGTCGGATGCTTCTATTGAGCTAGTATTGAGTTCTTTGATGTCTTGGAGTGCGATCAGTGTTGCTTTGGCGATCAGGTACTTGACTGTAAAGAATAAGTTTTTCGCGACATCGTCCAAATTGACGGATTTTGCATCCCCACAAAGTTGATCGGCTTAAGGTCTCACGAGAGACTCGCATGGCGATATGAACCGTCGATATGAACTTCATTAGACTGTTAAACATGCGTAGTTGCTTCCTTATGGCCGGTTCTGAGTAATCGAGAATGTCCTCGATGCCTCGATCATCAGTAGTGTGTCCGAGGAAATCTAGGAATTCGGTGCCGACTTAACTTTTCTGAGTGTTTACACTAAAGACGTGTTTTTGTAATCATCCAAAGACAAGTTCAAGATGTTGGAGATGAGATGATCTGTTCGGGCCTGAGATCAAGCAGTCATCAACATACACATACAAGAAGTTGAGACCACAAAAAGTCACTGGAAAATTTGTGCAGTATTTCTTAAGCGAAAAGACATGGCCGAAAATTCATAGAAACCGAAAGGAATGATGATAGCAGTTTTAGGAATGCCTTCGGCAGCTGTGGTAATCTTGCTGAATGCTTTAACCATGTCGATTTGGGAAAACCAGTTGTATCTTTCAAGGTAGCTGTCAAATCATGAATGTGAGGCATCTGGTAACAATCTGGGTGGTTTTCGCATTCAGTCACCGATAGTCACCAGTTGGACGACAATCGTTGCTGTCATTTTTGGGGATCATGTGTAAGGAGGATGCACATGGGCTGTTCGGTGGTCGAATAATTCACAAGCCTATCATGTACTTGACTACGTTTCCCGTCAACCCAAGATTTCCGTGAACTAGTTGACGCGCTTTCGACAATAAAGGTGGTCCTGTGATCGTGATGTGATGTGTAACATTGCTGGTTACTCACGTTGATTTTCGGTCGGGTTCGGTATATCTCGAACTACTTAGGGACTATTTGTTGGTAGTATGTATCGATTGTGTGCTTTACTGTGACTGAAGACAATCCACAACCAGCAATGAAGTTACACCAGCAGATAAATCAGTAATTCTGTCTACCAACCTCTATTTTCTCGTGTTGATGTTTAGATTATGATGTTGTGTCACGTTTTTGTATCAATGATTGGGATAGAAAAATCTGCAACAATGATGAACCAGTGAGTGGATTTGCGCAAACCCACGTTAAGGCACATATACCGCCTAACATATGTGTCGATCGGTTTCCGATTGGCCATCTGTAAGTTGAAAACTGCTTTGTATAGTCGGCCGTTAAAATTTGCTGAAAGAACGCTCACTTCTGTGTACGTGTGGATGAGGTAGCGAACTTTCATAATCACATCAGCGAAGTATAATCGACAACTATGTTTGCTGGCTATGGTAGCCGTCAACGCGTGACGGCTAGAAAGTTTTCCGACGCGTTTCGCGTGTCCAATATTCTGGAGCCGGCAAAATGCAGGGTTTCCTGCAATAACGAGAAGACTTCCTGTAATGATTGTGATACCAGCACCATTCAGTGTTATCTATCTCTCGTGATCTCAAGGCAGATCTTCTTCGTGAAGTACCCATTCGAGGGGTTTCGGAGCGTCTGAGGTCATGACGAAGGTAACGTGTGATACTGTGACAGAATTCTGCAACGTCATGTCGTGTCGTTTGAGGTTTTTCTTTGGCTGAGAAAGTCTTGGCGTTAGATGCTACGGTGATCTCTAGAATGCAGTCGGCAGATGCAGCCAACTCGTCTACAACTTTGTTATAAAGTGAAACAAACAGTGCCTGAACCTGATGGGAAAGCTCAGATAAGGTACGTTGTCTAACCAGGCTATCGTGAAAGGTCCTTTGACCAATGACCTCTCTCATCCATAACAACATGTCTGTTGCTAAGTCATGTTGTAGTTCGATGTTGTCAGGGAGTTGATCTAATCTATGCCAGTCGGTTGGATCTTCGCATCTAAGAATAGACTAGAACAGAATGGAGTTTCATACTGTTCTGAGACATCACCAGTGAATATACTAGATGTGATGTACCTGTTGATTTCGTCCGGCAGTTCCTTCACTACTGCAAAAAATTATACACGTGAGTCTGTCACGTCGTGCTCGTGGAAGTCAGCTTGTGAGTAACAGAGCCAGGCTTCGATGCTGGCACTAGCTGGAGCGAGGATGGCGTAAGAGTTTTGGTCTTAAATAATTTAGAAGTTTTCTTAATAATGATAAATGAGAAGAATAGTAATGAACGCGAAAACACTAAATATAAAGTATCGCAATATGCAAAAATCATAGTAAAAATGATATATAAATTTCCAAAAAGGAGCAGTTTCACAGTTTACAAATTGGTGTACCAGCTCACCACTAAATACAACATAAGTATTCGGAGTTTGACAACACCCTAATCAGTAACAACTTTTATAATCGTAATGTACCAATGAAATCTATGGTCAGAGGAGGAGAGGCTCGAAGGGATATTTAGTAGGTTATCGATATATCGATAAATGATCAGTCTAAGCTGGCTAGCGGTTGTAGGGGAAGTTGAGTACATCATAACCACTTGTGATTTGGTGTGGATCCATGACCTAGCGCTTTAAGCAAAAAGGGTCCACTAAAATTAATGTGGTCAGCATCAAATGTCGAAGACTCATAGAGCTTTTGATTTTGGTGATTTGTTTACTTGCTATCCCGTTCATTATATGGAAATTACCGCTTAATCTGAGGTGTTGTACACAGATTTAATTGTCCAAGTCACTTCGTGTACAACAAGCATCTTAACTCCAGGAGTGTGCGTGGAAATTCCCTCAGTAGTTTGCCCCACATGTCTAATGTACCTTAAAGACAGGGTCTTGAGGCCTGTATGCAGTTTGTAATTTGGGTTTCATCAGGGCAAAACGCCATTTTAACACCTATACGACGTTAATTCCATTAGCAACTAGACAAGGGATAATTTTCGAGAAAAGGCATTTCTGTTTTATCCACAACCAGTTGACCCATTTAAATACCAATTACATATGTTTTGTTGATAGAAACCGACCAGATAACATAGCCATACCAGGCGTCTTTAAAGATCAACAACAGACTTTTTCACACTAAACAAAACAGACACAAATAGACAGCAACCCTTAAGAAAAATATAGTATTATTTGGATATTCTAATAACTGGCCTTCGGAAATGGTGTCGTTCAAATTTATTCGGTGTATCGGTTTTAGTTAAAGGATTGCGCTAATATCATACTTGTTCGTTATTGACCGTTTACGATTGTCCTTATTAACGATTGAGTTCTTATTTTGTGTTCAGAGTGAGTATTTGTCCTACATTTCTACTCATTTTTATCCCCTAACCAGCACTATCATAACTTCCCCTAAAACAATTTTTTTAGTTCAGCCCTAAGCCTACCGATACCTGGTTTTTAGGTCATAGGAACAATTATTATGTTAAACAGTTGAAAGACCAGTACTAGTGGTTCTGTTTAGACTCAATTACCCTATGAAAACTTCACTACGATATTCCCATTAATAGGAAGCCAATTGGCCTCATCCTTCCATTTAAAGATGTTCTAATAATGTTTATTGTAACTCCAAAAGCCGCGAGATATTGATTTGTCGTGGATTTGATGCCATTTTAAAACGTTGATTAAACTGAAAATCTTTTGCACCCAACAATTGGTAGTTACTATTTATGTTTCTCAAAACACTAATGGTTATGTCTTGTTCCATCAGCTACAGAAAATAGATTTGATTTTCTCTCTGGAGGATAAGGCTAACTATAGTCTGTTTCTCTAATAGAAGTATTAATATGTTTGTTAAGGCATCAGCCAGTTATACAGTCCATTCGGGATAGATTTTACTAGTTTAAGACATTTACGTAATTAAAAGTCCGCTTCCACTGGTATTGAATATCCCATATTCAGGACTCCTCTGTAGTAACTGTGCATTCTGGGTCTATGTTGGTCTTCGAGGAGAACTTCCTGAATCGGATTTACCTAGTGGAGACTCATGTAGCTTAATAGGTCATCCATCATGCTGCTTCTTATACTTATGATATCCGAAAGTAACCTTCTTGAGTACTTGGATTTTTGTCTACCGCTTCCTTATCGTACGAGAAGTCATTTTTTTCATAAACATTTGGTTATGTGTCTTAATTTATCAATCGTTCTTACAAGTGTCCCCTACCCATTTACAATTTTCTTCAATGTTTGTTAACATATAGAAGATAAATGGTCTTTTTCAGGCGAGTTCTAAAACAAATTGTACATGCTCATTTAAATAGCTTCAAACTTAACAAACATCTTCAGTTAGTAAATACACGTTAAAAAACAACTGATCCCGGCATTTCAATGCTGGTTCACCTACCCCTGCTTTCGAGCACGAAAATACGTGGGTTTGGAATGTCAGTTGAAAAATATGACCTGGCTTTAACATATATCAGCCCAATTCAGTATATAGGCAGAAAAGACTAGGTGAAAATTGAAGTAATAGTAAAGGTAAGATTAAAATACTCAACATAGGGGATATATTTTAAAAAAGAATGATTAGATTTTGATTGAGATCATAAACCGATTGATGTTAGACCACCATTGAGAAGGTGAGAGCACTGGATGGCCATTTCGTCCTATCATGGGACTCCTCAGCAGTGCGCATCCACGCCATTGGATGCCAGCTCAGTGGTCTAGTAGGTTAAGCGTCCGCGCACGAGACTAAAGGCCCTGGGTTTGAATCTCGCGAGCGGGATCGTGGATGCGCACTGCTGAGGAGTCCCATAATAGAACGAAACGACCATCCAGTGCTTCCAGGTTTTTAATGGTGGCCTAGCACCAGTCGGTTCATGATTTCAATCAAAAAAACTTAACAATCTCCACAACCCTTAAACTGATAATAATTGGATTCTTGGGTTAAAGCAGCATTTATGTTCAAGATCTAAAGAGAAAAACATTTCTGCTCTAGTGCTAAGCTTAAGCCTTAGATGAAATTCAGGTTTTTTCGTAAATAATCTCAACCATCGCGTCTATTGGGATATTGGAGAAAATAAGTATTTTCACGTAATAGTCACATATAAGCCAAAATGACCATCATGATTACTAATTTACGTCTGAAAAATATACTCAGAAAACACGTTACTTCAATAAAGGCTCTATTCGAATAATGTAAATCAAGTCAAAGCTTATCGTATAGTTTTGTCACAGTTGCTCAATTTCTTCATTTTTCAGTTGTGCTACAGGTACAGTCATAGAATTAGCATTTTCGCATGGCTTCTCGAAGATAGATCCTCATACTTTTCTAAAACTTTGAACACTTATCTACTTGTAGGTACTGACAAAAGTTTTCTAAACCCCGAGAATTTAGAACTAATTTGTGCTCTAAATAAAGTGTTGATTGAGCGCGTTTGTTAGTTACCTTGCCCTATGAGCTACCTATATTGTACCTGGGGCATCGAACCTTACATAGCAGTTTGACAATTGGCTTATGAGTTTAACATATCCAAGTGTATTTGAAGAATTTCTTGTTCGAATCGATCGAGAGTGTAACTGATATCGCTTAAATAAAATTGCGATTAATAGCTACTATTTTAGTGGTAGACCAAAGTGCTTAGGTTGTTGGTAATGTATAAATCAGGAACAGGTCACAACCAACGTCAAAGTTATGCTATCTGAGGTATAAAGCGGTTTTTATTTTATAGAACCCGTCGATCATTGATGTAACTGGTAAGTAACAATCCAAACCTGTTTCATTACCAATATGTATACATCAAAAATTGTGATAAACCAAAATGCCCTGGTACGGCCGAGAGTGGGGAGAGTCCGCTCTCCCTCTCGAAATACTCTCACACGGCCACGCGTATATAGCCTCTGCCAGGGAAGTCCTACTCACTGCCTTCTCGTGGCGGGGGTGTTGTTTACGAAAATGAGAGGACGAAAAGCGAATGTCCGGCGCTTTAACCGGATTCCAAACCAATGGTGCACATGGGCTCCAGTATCCTGCGGGAACAAATGGCGAATGAACCAATTGTTGGTCACCGGCTTCCATGGTACTGCATCTCCTTACGATGCTCCACTGCCTTGTGGGTTAGACCTTCAGGTCGAAGGCTCGGGGTGTGGCCCCCTAAGAAAACCACCTGCTTCGGTTTGGGCACCCGGGCAGTATCACAGCCCTCACACATATCGAATGAGATTTGTGTGGCGCATATGTATTTGGTGCCTCTTTGTACCATTATTTATGTGTTGAAATAAATAAATAAATAATAATTATCAAGATTACGGGTGTGAAGTGTTTGCTAGTCAGGGATATAACATTAGTATTCATTTCTAATAATACTTAAAATGTACTTTGACAAATGTGTATACAACAATGTAAAAACTCACTATGAATCATTCAGTTCAAGCAAAAAGGATCAAGATCAAACAAAAAGTTCAAACTAATATATTTGATTGTTGTTTTTCTCTAAGTTTTTGTGCAAGAGAAATATAACAAGAATTTTTTCCCGGTTTTGGATAAGTCTTTTTAGCCTTGTACATTAGGGTGTTATCGCTGTTCCATCATAAATGTACGTAAATATTTTCCTCTTACTGATTCATGTTAAAACTTTATTAATTTTTGTTCATTTTTAGCCAAGACAATGAATAAGTTGAAAGCGAACAGAACCAAAAGTAGAGGTCCTGCAGATAATGTAATAAAAAATTCATCTAACTTTGGACAGACAGATAAAGAGCTATATGCAGTACTTATTGCAGACCTTCTATACGATCGCTTTGATCCTCTAAGTGACTACGTTCCCCCTTGTTTACTTCCATTATGTAATGTTCCGCTGCTGCATATGACGTTATCTATTCTTGCTTTTGATGGCTTCAGGAACATTCTAATCTATACTATTAAAAGCTACAAAAGCGTTCAAGCATACATAAATCAAACTACTTTAAGTAATTGTTTTCCTGGATTGAAAATTTTTGTACGAAATGTGGAAAATTGTCATAATCTGGGTGATATTATGCGTGATCTTGAGTCAAGTGAATTTCTTTGTGGAGTCTCAGACTTTTTGCTTGCTCCCGCTGATCTGATTTGCGGCATCTCTTTGGCAAAATTTGTTAATAAACATAAGGAACAACGTGAAAAAACACCCAACGCCATACTCACTCTTCTACTACCCCCCATAACCGAAGCGATAAGTTCAGTTCAAGCTTCTGAGCTCAAAGTTAACGTTATATTTTCACGAACGAACAATAATCGTTTGATCAATCTTTTTCACGAATCTCATCGTGACCTTTCTCCAGTTCTGCTTAGCGACTTGATGAAACCCGGTGAAGTTATCGAGTCTTCTCAGCTGATGGATATTCAACTGAGTATTTGTAGTAATCATATACCACCACTGTTTCAAGTGAGATAGAATGTTTTAGATTTTATTAAGTTCTTTCAAACATGGGTTCTTAATGTTTTTAAAAAAAACTGTTCAACTACAAAGTATTCTGTTCATGAATACAGCTTCAAATGAGATACTTAAAGGTTTTTTTTACTTGATTCTGTTTACATTGAGCTGTTTAGCGTTTAGTATTAAACGGGGTGTTATCAATTATTGATAAAAGCGTCACGTAACATTTTATTATCAATGTCGTCAGCACTATGAACCGTTCATTTATTTTTCGGGCTTTCATTCCAGTCAAATATTTCATTACAACATGAACCTGATAACAAAGGTCATCGATTGAAATGTAGCTGAATCATTTGACTAGTTTTAGAAGCAGTTAGAAACAAGTAAGACCAATAGTTGGGATCGCTTAAGTATTTTGTTTTCTGCAATCGTCTACCAAGTAAATATCCACTGAAGTGGCCACTTGCCTGCTACTTTCATCGTCTTTACTTATTCAAATAACTGTCAGTATGTATTGTGAGCTGGTCTACGACAATTATTATCGAAGCTAAGATCCATGTACATTGTAGATTTATTTTTTCTAAAACAAAATTAAGTTAATAGTGAAACTTGAAATTACTTGTTTTGTTTTCGAATTTTGTGTGCATCTGCTCCTCGTTCTCATCTCATTATGTGTGGTGTGATTTCCAAAATTGTGAGCTTACAAATGTAATTATCTGATTGCCAAGATTGTTTAATCCCACTGTTGTATATTCACCCATTCTATAAGAGATGTATTTATGGTTTAATATAATAAAATCCAAGGTCTTATTAATTTCTAACTAGCAATTGATATGCCATTAAGGAAGGACACCATATCTGAACATTGCAGCGTTTTACATTCTAAGTTTATATGGGACCAGTAATAAGCACTTTGATAAAATTCTTGAAACATTCTAATTGGGAACAAATCATTGACTTACTTTAGAAACACATTTAAAACTTTACTTGTTGACTACATTCATTTTACATTTTCATATCAGTTGGTTTTATGACTCATTTTCAAGCCCGATAACATTTCATTATAATTCGCTTTCACAAATGTAATTGGATAATCATTTATCGTATGATGTTTCCTTTTCCATTAGTTGATTTTGATCAATTAATAATAATGCAATTATAAGCCACAAAACTCTTACCCAGTGAAATTTTTGCTTCCTTTTTGAAACTTAGTTTAAATTTCAACTTCTTAATTGTTTTACAACCCATTCATTTTACAAAACTTAACCTCCACACTTCATAATATTCATCATATACTTAGAGAGTTCATATTATTCCTCCGCAAATTTTATGAATTCAGTTAGTTATTCCGTGAATGTATTGATATCTTCAAATTTTATGACAAAGCCGTTTTCATACTTTTGCAATGTTTCTGCATTGAAATGGTGGGAAGAACACATCTAATGAGTGACCTACAAAACCGGTTCCCTACAGCTTTCTATGTTCTAGGTCATAGATTATATTTGTTTTGTGTCAATACTTTATGTGTGTGTCATTTTACTAGGAAAAATAAAATTGTTTGCCCATCAGTCATGGTGTTTGTCGGTATCTGTTCATTTTGGGGCTTCAGTCAATAATTCGGTCTTCTGTTCATTTATCAGTCAGCTACAATGTAGAACCATTAAATTTGTCAATATTGCAAACAAAACATGTTCATAACAAACCCAAAATCTCACGCCATAACATGCACATACTTTCTGTAGTGTTTGTTTTCATTTGTTTATTCGTTTGTGTAAATCGAATTGTAGTTATCGTTAAATTTGTGTAAGGGTTGAGATACCACCCGGGGTGCTCAAACCGAAGCAGGTGGTCTTCTTAGGGGACTACTCTCCGAGCCTTTAACTCATAAGTCTAGTCCATAAGGCAGTGGAACAGCGTTAGGAGATACTGTCCTATAGTAGCCGGTCATCAGCAATGGGTCCATACGTCACTTTTTATCTCAGGATCTTAGAACCTATGTGCACCATTGATTAGGAGTCAAAGTTTTCCAACTCTTCTAGGTGAGTGTCTCGTACCCACCAACCCGGTCTAAGCGCCGAACACCAGAGAAATCAGCGACAGCTATATATTTTATTTATATTAGTCTACTAAATACTTGTTATTGTCTTATACAAACTACCTTTAGAATTAAACGCGCTTCCATTTTTTTATGGTATTTGACAAATGTTCAGGTAAGTTTTTAAAAAAACACACTTTCGTTTGACTGCCTACTGTGGGCTGCTTATATTATCAAAGATAATTTTTTCTGTAAATTTACGAAGCTGGTAAATTTACAGAAGTATTCTTTTTGTTCTAAAATGAATATGTAGTGTAATTCAGTTCATTTTTGAACACTATACAATATTTAAGTAAGTTGTTCTCTATCTATATTGTGTTACAGTCAGTAATACTATCTGTCAATAAAACTTTTGGTGAAACTGCTTTCAACATGAGTTTCTGAGTTAATTGTATTTATGAATGAAGTCCATAAGTTGCGGTACTCAAATTGTATTTCGTAATCTAAATTCACATAAATCTCTAAAAGAAAGTACCTCTTACTATTGCTTGACATATCTATCGAGTGAATTAGCTATTGGTCATAAGATTAATTTCGTTGTGTCAGATGTAGTAAATTGTTTATTCCGAAACCAGGTCACTCGTGTACATGCCTTAATCATAAATCTAACCCTAGATGTGAATGAAAATTAAAACAATCTGTTATGCTGTTATAAAAGTTCTTATTTCTCCATGATATGAGACGCTTGTTATAAGATTTGAAGGTACATGACCCATCTTGTTGGTTCTGTTTCATAAGCCACTCACGTTTCTTCAGGTTTTCAGGCTTTCCTATAAATATTATGATTCATTCTGATGCATGACATTATGAATTGTTAAGTAAAGTGAATTGCCATCATAACATACAAATTATTTGTAAGCAATATACCTGTATTATTCATGTCTAGTATATTTACTGTCTACCTATTGAAGTTATTTTCCCTCTTTCCCTTGTTTCCTCAGGATAATTTTGACTATGAAACTATGGATGATCTTGTAAATGGAGTGTTAACAAATGAAGAAATTATGGAATATACCATACATGTTGAACCTTTACCAAAAGGACCGATTGTGCTTCAGGCTGCTCCTGATCTTAGTAGTTTGATTGACTTAAACTTTAAACTTCTGTCTCGACAAGGTGGGTTTAATTTGTCTCTGCCACCTTTGTATGCCAATCTATCAGGCTCCGAAATTGTAGCAGTTGGTCCACAAGTTTTTGTGTCTAAGTTGGCGAAAGTTCACCATAAAGCCAGAATAATTGGAGCGTGCTTTATTGGATCTGGGTGCGAAGTGTCGGCGTTTGCTTGCTTAATTGACTGTTCCCTTGGGGAAAATTGTTTTGTAGGTGAAAATTCATGTTTACGGCGTGTTATCGCTTTGGAGAACGTTCATATTTCTAGTCATGTAAAGGCAGACGTAGCTTGGTTGTGTTCCGGTGTTCGTATACTTTCTGGATTTAAACTTCCTAACCGCTGTTTCATAGGCCCGTCATCAACCGCAGCTGTAACATTGGGTCCAGGATGTGGTAACTTGCCAAGTAACAGCGTTTTGGTCGCCCCTCGTACAGGTGATTTAGTTATAGACCCTTCAGTTGGTGGTGAACAAGCCTGGGCTGCCTATTATAAAAAAAGGCAACCTTCAGGGACAGTAAGCTCTAATTTCTTGTTTGCGAGTTATATATATATATATATATATATATATATATATATATATATATAGTTGGCCATGCATTTTCCAGGATTTTTCGAGTTGTCACTTTTAGTTCATATCTGATATTTTTCTCGGTTATATTTGACTGAAAATATTTGAAGTGTTGAGAATGTCCATCCATAGATGATGTCAATAACATTTTATTAGAACCTGCCTACTCTAATGCTGTTTTCTTACATTTTTGAATGCCTAGGTAAGATCAAGGACGAATATTTTCATTATTATTATGTAATTTTGAAAAACTGAATTTTATACACTTCGAACCATTATAGTAAGAGTAAAATCAACAACAGAACAAAGAGGAACGGAGGGAAGAACAATTACTAAATAATGTCTATGAATATTTAGAGTCATAGAGGTGTCGATCCTGTCTTATCCATTAAAATCGGTTCCAAACTCATCATGAAGATTAATACTACGCGATAATTCATTCTTCATCATAAGAGCTATTCGTCTGGTTTAATGTTTCCCTTTTATGGATTCCAGCAGACTAATTTATCAGCATTTTTATACAGAACGATGATGTAGTTTAAATATCACCAACTTGTTGATGAAGGTGGATTGTGTGGTAATTTTAAACAACAGTTCTCAGGTCTGCATATAACTAAATTGGGTACATAAATTCTCCAAAAATATGATTTTAGGTATCCTTTGAAGTTACACTTCGCATCAAGTTGATAGGCAATAAATTAATAAGTGGTTTATTTTATTGAAATCATGAACCGATCAATGTTAGACCGCCATTGAAAACCTGGAAGCATTGGATGGCCGTTTCGTCCTAGTATGGGACTCCTTAGCAGTGCCGGTTTAGTGGTTTGGAAGTTAAGCGTTTTCATGCGAGACTGATAGTCTTGGGTTCAAATCTGGCGTGTGGTATTGTGGATGCGTACTACAGGGGAGTCTCTTATACTAGGGCGAAACGGCCGCCCAGTGCTCCTAGGTTTTTAATGGTTGTCTTACATTGATTGGTTCGTAATTTCAGTGAACTTCAACAATCTCTCTAACCCCAAACTGAAAATTATTTTGTCTCAATAAATAGTATGCACTTGTGTGGATGTAAATTATTGGTTTTAATTTGCTAAATTGATATTCGTTTTATTCCATGAAACCTCTTACTAAATACCTTTACAAAACGACTGTGATAAAATTTTCTAGCTGAGCTAAACCGTTAAAATCTAACATAATATTGCGGGTAACATTAGTTTCTCGCGTCATCTTTAGGCTCATACATAGACCCTAAACGAGAATCGCTTTTGTGTAGATCTACATTTCGCTCATCTTAATAGAACTCGTTTATGGGATTTCAGAACTTTCACTTACTGTAATATTTTAAAAATGGACTATAAAAATAACACTGCACGTTTACGAACACAGATCCTTTTCATAATAAAATCATTATAAAATTATGGCTTAAATCATAAGTTACAGTAACAATGCGAGTCAATTTATTTGGTCACACTAGTAGACCCATCAATTCCAATTCCAAATGAAGTATTTATACCTTTACAGAAGGCTTCTGGATTTTAAAATTACCAGGATAATAAAAAAAGTAACTGGATCTATAAAATGTATTTAGTAATTACTCACTATTTGTTTGTTTATGGTAATGATAACTTCTAGTCTCTTTCTGAGTGTATTCCCGTCTGAATAGTTTGTCATATTGACTAACCTTTATACATTCAATGTTGCTCAAAGTCAAACACCATCTTTGCTTGCACGTAGTTACTTTAGATGCTCTAATTTATGTATTATGTATAATATATATATTTTATCTCAGAGCGATTCTGTGGATAATCTTTCCGAGGAGGATACACAATCTGATCAAGTGTATTTGAAAAATGATGAATTTACAAATTGTCCTTTATGGGAAACGGCCTGGGACAGAATTAAAAATGCAGCTAAAACACGTCGGCAGAGAATGAATCAAAAGTCTAGTCATAGCCGAACTAGTGATATTCGTTGTAGCAGATCCAGCAAGCCTCGCCGTATGGTAAGTGAGATAGATGACAGTGATGGAGATTTGGAACATCAATTAAAAGATACATCAAAAACTGAAAGTGATGGCGATGATGAGCAGTCAGAAAGCTTCATAGTTACTGAATTGAAACGAACTTTGGAACGAGGTGAACGACATAAATATCCAGCTGAAACACTTATACTTGAAGTTAATTCTTTAAAACATGCTTATAATGTACCTATTGAAGATTTTGGATTCTTATTGACAAAAGCCTTACTGGAGCTAACTCGTGATCATTTATCTTCGAAATCACAAAATGAATGCAGTAAAGCTGATATAACAGAATTCATCATTAATCTTCGTAAACTCCTATTAAGCTTTAATACTGTTCTGTCATCATGTATGTCAGGATTTCAAAATGCTGGCCGAGTTTATCTTCAAGCCGTTGAAGATGCAGCATGCTATGATTCATTAATATTTGTTTCTTCTATGTCTATTATTCACACTATGTATGACAATGATTTAGTTTTAGAAGATGATATATGGTGGTGGAAAGATAATTCCCCACTTTTACTTGATGATGATATTTCTGAGAAAACTCGATCATTAAGAGAAAAAGTCAAACCTTTCTTTGATTGGCTTGAACAGGCGGAAGAAGAAGATGACGATGATAAGCAATGACATGTTTATAACTTTGTACAATACTTTTTCTTTACTTTATGTGTTATTTGCGGTGTACGTATGATAAAAACAAAAGTGTTAAAAAATGTTGTTTAATCTGTTGCCATTCCATGTACATATCATCCTTTTTATTGACTTTAATTTCAATATCACCTAGCGAAACATCTGCTGTGACAGGAGTTTGCTTTGTAAATATTTTCTTTGGTAGGTGGGATGGATGAATTTTTCAGTAATCAGTAGGTTGGTAATTGATAACTTGTAAAAGTTTTGCAGATGGTGTTACTCACAAATTCATTTCCAATCAGAATAATGATTAGTGTTATTACAGAGCTTAGAGTGTTGCTAGTTTCTAACAGTGTTGTATTTATGAGTTTCAAGTTTTCTGTGTTGGTGTTTAATACGAGTAATAGTGATTTTGTTATTGTCACACTATATTAACGACTAGTGGGTGACTAACAACACAATTATATCAGTTATTTGATATATATATATATATATATATATATATATATATATATATATATATATATATATATATCCTGATAAAATTCGTGATATTTGGTTTGTTTAAGTTAATCGATAATTTTGAACTAGTTCGAGTTGTTTCGAATGTATTTTTAATTATAGACCAGTACAAATACTTATGCGCCACACAAATCTCATTTGATTTGTGTGAGGGCTGTGATACTGCACGGGTGCCCAAACCGAAGCAGGTGATTTTCTCAGAGGGCCAGAGCCTTCGACCTAAAGGTCCGATCCATAAAACAGTGGAGTATCGTAAGGAGATGCAGTCCCATGGTAGCCGTTGACCAACGATTGGTTCATACGCGATTTTTCCCCTCAAGATACTGGAGCCCGTGTGCATCATTGGTTTGGAATCAGGGTTTTTCAACTCCCCTGGGTTGACTCTCCGTGTCCACCAACCCGGTTAAACCGCCGGACGTTCGCTTTTCATCCTCACGATTTCGTAAACAACACCCGTGGTACGAGAAGGCAGTGAGTAGGACTTCTCTGACAGATGCTATTTACGTGTGGCTATGTGAGAGCATTTCGTGAGGGAGCGGACTCTCCCCACTCTCAGTCGTACTAGGGCATTCGGGGGCTATAGACCAGTAGATCTTTTCTGTGTATCATTTTGGGATCAGAACTATTTTCGAATATATTGAACTCATTTTCCAGCTTCCATCATATTTGTAGTGATTTTAGCGTGATATAATGTATAGGAAATTAGCTTTAATAAACCGTATATAGAATTGCCTGTAGGAAGTCAACCATTTTAGCAAACAACAGTAGCAGCCTTCATCACTCTTCTAATAGCCTACTTTGACCTAGAGACTTGTGAGCTCTGTTGCAGGTTTTTTTAATGTGGCATCTACCATACCAATTTCACTAGTGGGAACCAAAGTATTATCTATTACTTATGAGGTTTCACTGAAGACTTCTGATCATATCGAAGGATTTGTCTGAATTCCTGTTTTTCTGAAACCCTATATATATGTAGCTACTGGTGCATAGTTTAATCTATGCGTGTCTTTATCAAGAAAGGATTTCTCAAGACCGAGTTGGATAGAGAATGCTGGTGGGCGGCGTATACTCCACCGCGAGAGGTAACAGTCGTAAGTCAGGTGCATAGTTAGACAATGCAATAACAACTGTAGTCTTTCATAACAACAGCAATCCTTCATGTTTGCATTCGACCACCACGACCAAATATAAAAGCTACTTATAAGCTAATACGTTTTATGGATGTAGTAGAATGGGCCTGTGCTGTACAAAATTTGTTCAAAAAACCAAGAATATTGGTGGATACATTCAAAGAGTGTCATTAATTTAACAGTGTCAATGATTTCTATTAATAATAATAATATATCTGTAATATCCCAATAAGTAGAAAAATTAAATTTCCTGGCGTTTCGTGACTCGGTGTAAGCTGCTTCTTCAGAGAATAAATAGTCAAACTAAATTAACCCAATCTTAAGTAGTACAGAGAAACAAACAAAAATATTTAAAGCGACCAATCAAATACAGGTCTGACTAATCCAATGTGTCATTCCGGTCAAGGTTATTTATGTGAGGCATGTTTGTATATTTGCGCGTCTGTGTGTATGTCAAGACATGAAGAAATATGACATTTGTGGTGCGAAATGATTGAGTTGAATTTGTATGTCTGATAATGATGTGAGATGTGAATAGAATCAGATATGTTAGCTCGGATAAACAGTCCAAGTCAAGTGGGTAGTGATGTCTTCTTTTCTATTGAGGGCGGTAGGATTAAGCAAATATGGAAAGCTTCAGCTACTCGTCTTTGTGTGTTTGATAGATTTTAATATCAACTTGACGGTTATTGAAAATGGTATAGACTGCTATTGTAGATTTAATTTGGAGTCTTTCCAGTTTTACGGGATCATTAGGCGGTTTTTTGTGTAGCTGTGACATTCTTTGGTTCGAGTCAGGATTCCACATGACCCTCCAATAAAGAAGGCATCACAATCGACACATCCTAATATGTAGACATAATCCTGTGTTATCATAAAGTGGATTTTTTCTTTTGTGCGAACTAAAGCATTTAGAAGGGTGTTCATTGTTTTGTAATATACTTTAATTATGTGTTCTTTTGTCATTGAGATTGTGGCTGCAATTCTGCAAACCACAGTTAAAATATAAATGAACTTAACCACCTGAAATTTCTTACATATCTGATGTGACAATCATATCAATACTGTGGGTTAATTTTTAAATTTTGCTTGACTTTGAGGTCTATTGAAACAACCAAGCTTGATGCACCAATTGGGCAAATTAACCAAATCTAATATCGAATGTAAATGGATTTCTGTAATCGTCCATGTTATCGTCTTATTAGGCCTATTAGCGCGATTTTTAAAAGCGAAATGAAAGTGGGCCATATTGATTCGACGATTACAGTCTAGATGTAATCTCCAAATTCCTAAGCTTGGGGATTCATATTGACAATTGCTTTCATGTCCAACATTTTTACACAAACCATGTAAATAGGATCTCGGAATGTTGATTTTTACTATTAAGTAAATTTATCTTGTGTGAACTCATAAAGCTCATTAAAAACGGTAGATATTAATTTCAGCTAGATAAACATATCTAGAGTCGAACAAAGTTAAAGGACTCCCGGTTTCTTGAGAAACACTCAGTGGTTTGTGGTCCCATACTAGAACAAAACACATCTGTACTTTTAGGTTTCAAATCATGATCTACCTGAAAAATTCGCTAATCGTGTTAATTGTTTCATAAAAGTGTTTTGCAGCTTTTACAAATGAAACAGTCGAGAAGAAAAGTTTGTGTACTGGAATTTTTATTTTCTTTCTACATATGCCTCAGGTTATGTTATAAAATTTGGGGGTGGGGGAACGATTTCAAACCTAGAAATTAAAATACAATCGTTCACATCCTTTAAGAGCTTACCAAATTTTCATAACTCTTCAAGTTAACGATTAAAATATTGTCACTATACGTTTGAAACAGTGTTTCGCTTTACACAATGGGCTGTAGGTTTTCATGGTGGGAACATGAATATGCGTCTCAGATACTTTGTCATTCATTTTAACCTACACAAATACAACCTAATTCTACGCATGGGAAAGGAACAGCAAGATCTGGAATATGTCGGTAGGTATCACGAAACAATTATTCTATTGGATACTCGAAAGTGAAATTCGTCTGCGAAGAATAAGGTAAGTGGCTACTTTGAACTATGAACTAAAATCTTATGAATTTTTGTAGATCACCCAGCATTATTCTATTCAAAAGGTGTCAACAATCAGCACAGAAAAATCCGTTGGTATGCTCATACTACTTAATTAAACCAAGTAGAATAAAGCGTATGAAAAAATTTATTTAGATGACATTGTTGGTAATATATGCAGTTGTCTTAAAACAAGCGGGTAGTAACCAAATGACTACAGTAACTTTTGAGATGTGATTTTATGTAGTCAGAAAATATCCAATCACAAATCAAAATAATTTTGGGACTGGCGATCGTTAAGATTTCTCAATTGTCAATATTTAGTCCTAACTCGGGTATACTTCTACGTTTTATTATTATTATTATTATTATTATTATTATTATTATTATTATTATATGTCCAATGAAAGTAAAACTTTTCTTGGATTGAATAAGCTGTTTCGAATATCATGGTAATACTATTATGCTCACTAAAGGTTCCATGGATCCAGTTGTATTTAATCTGAGGACTTTCTGTGTATTTGAACGTTATTTAATCTATGAATTGGTCGTAACATATTACTTTATGCAGTTTGTAAATGATTTTAAAATAAGAACTACCAAGTGATTGTTTTAATAAGCTTGACATCCCAATTTGTATACAACAGTGTCAGTGAGATAGTATTTTTAACTTTTGTTAATTTTATATTAACCTCTTACATTATGGTGTTTGTGATCCAGAAACTGCTCATACTAACTACATCATCCTATAGCAGCACTAACTTTTTTCTACTGATGTCATGTATATCGCAAAGTTTTAGTCTTAATGATAGTGATTTCCACGTCATTAAGTCGTTTTATTTCGAGATTTCATCCTTAATTATTTCTCATTCAAGCGTCATTTCAACAGATGACAATCTATTCATTTATTCTATTTTTAAGGTTGGTTCATTAAGCCAAACGAGGAGTCGTTTGCTATCTACTTTGCGAAATTTACCCACAAGTTATGATGTTGGATGCGGTTACATTTAATCAGATACTCATTGCTAGGATATTTATCTGTTGACAAATGGCTTCTTTCAAAATATTCAACATTGTAAACACAAACAGTTGAATTATGATCTTTTTTTTTCTAGGAATAAATGGGTACAGTATATGGATATCCCTTATGTCAATGTAGTTACAAATGAAACATACATTATATCCAAGAGATTCTTTTTGTCATTAGTTAAAATGTTTGTAATATAACTAGGTGTGTGAATCATGAAAATTCATTAATTTTTTGTGCAAATAAAATACTACTATGAACAATGGACATATAAGAGTAAGCGTGTGAAATATGTGCATATCAACAATAATAAATATAACTAAAGTTACTTATAATCTTTGAATATCTTTTCTGATGAGGATGAAACTATCTTATAAAGTGATATAACACCTTAATTTATGACAATCCAATGCTAATTCTCGTGTAGTGAACGAGAAAACTAGTGGAGACAACCAAATGTATTGGAATACAACATTACAGAATGTCTTGGTAAAATCTGAGAATCATGCAGTAAATACTTCATTTGCAAAATGTCAATCAATTGTCTGAGACTTGATTGTCTCTTCGTTTCCACACCAATCACTCTCTATTATCGTTCACTTCTTTGTCGCCAGGTATTTCACTATCGATTGGTGGTGCATACTACTTCTATCTGTTGAGATCAGTAGCTCACACCACGCTCTCATTATATCAATGAATTTATTTAAAGCAGCAGAGCGGAACTAAAATTAATTCTAGAATTTGATGAATTTCGAAATCAGCTTTTTAGTCATATTAATTTGTTCAGTTTAATCACAGTGATTCAAGAACTGAGAAACAGATGGGCAAAATACTTTGAGTAACTGTTGAATAGACCAGCTCAATTGAATCCACTGGACATCGAAGCAGCATGCACAGATCTTCTTATAGATGTCAGTCCACCAACGATCGAAGAAATCAGGATGTTCATCAAATAAATCAAAAGTGGGAAAGCAGCAGGACCTGACAATATACCAGCTAAAACACTTAAGTCAGATATTACAGAAACTGAAAACATGGTTCACCTTCTATTCAAGAAAATTTACGATGGGGGGGGACAAGTGCCGATGGACTAGAAAGAAAGATACCTCATCAAGATATCAAAGGAAGGAGACCTGAGAGAATACGAGAACTACAGAGGCATCACACTACTGTCAGTACCAGGAGAAGTTTTCAACAGAGTGTTGCTGAAGCAGATGAAAGACGCAGTAGACGCCCAGCTTTGGGATCGACAGGCTGGATTCAGTAGGGATTGATCGTGCACGGACCGAATTGCGACACTACTGATCATCGTCGAACAATCAGTTGAGTGGAACTAGTCACTATAAATCAACTTCATTGATTATGAGGCGTTTTATAATGCGGACAAAAGAACATTATGGAGTTCCTGAAATTACCAACATTATCCGGAACTCATACGACGGAATACAGTGCAAAGTCGTGGATGGAGGACAGCTGACAGTTGCATACCTAGTATGAACTGGGGTCACAAGGTTGTCTGATCTCTCCCTTCCTCTTCTTTCTGATGGTTGACTAGATTATGAAGACTTCAACAGACATGAAAAAGATGAATTACATCTGGAAAGGATTGACCAGGACAGGGTTCGATGGAGAGTACTGGTGGGCGACCTATGCTCCTCCACGAAGAGTAACAGCCGTAAGTAAGTAATAAAATTCATGAAACATACACTAACTTTTGTTTCAAATTATGAAATGTGATATGGTACTAAAACTATATATATGGACAGAAATGTTTTACAGTGTAATTCGCACTTCAGTGTTTGTTACTCAACAGTTATGCACAAGTCAATAAACATTTAAAGTAAAATTTGTTGTTATATTTTATAAACAGTAAAATATTTGTATATCAAGACTTGTATTTCTCCGTCCTTGATATTAGGGGTTGGAACTGAACGGTCTGTATTGGCTTATTTGCATGCTGAACGGTTTGTTTCGATACTTCCATTTGACCGAAATTTTCTAGTAAAGTTGGATAGCGGTTAGCAAATATACTAACAGAGACTGTCCACTTGCAGTCTCTAACAGCAATGATGTGAAAATGCAGTCTTTCAAAAGTAAAATTCATACCTGTCTCATTAGCTAATGGCATTTTCGGTTCAGTAGTTCAATGGACAAGCCATAGGCTTTGTAATCGAGTTACTAGGGTTGGATCCCACTGCTAATATCTATGCGGAGATGAAGGTGAATCCGGCTAGTGAGTTACACGAAGGACGAAACAATTTTCTAGATTCCACTGTTGACAACTATTCAGTGCTAGTAAATTATCTGTTTTTAAAAAAAGGATTTAAAGGCAAAAAGTTACGAAACTTTATACGACTAAATTTAAAAAGTACTGATAAACTCACTTTCGAACTGGTTCAAGGATCAAGGCTGCTTCCCACAATCAAGTAATAAGGCTATTTAAAGGTGACTATAGTAGGATTATATATATCAGGCTTCGTAGTTAGATTTCATTGAAAGCAAAACGAAATTTTATTGAATCTCTGCTCACACACACATATCGTATAGAAATTATAAACCTGAAAAAAATTATGATAAAGTCTTAATAACTTTTCAGTTACAGTTACAAACTCTGAAGTCACTATAGACAATATCTGTTTTACATTCAATACATTAATTTGATTACGTCTAGTATGATGTCCGAGGTTCATTTACATATTTGTAAAGATAAACTTTTCTGAAACTGTGCCATGACTTAAGTACTGGATTTCGCTGCATAAAATAGCGATACGAATAAACACGATTGTAATATCCCTCTAGACAATTGTTTTGAGTTAATGAACAGTGTTTGTTCATATTTAGGTGAATATTTTCACTCAGTCATCTAAAGTTAATTTAATTTGAACACCAAGGCATTTTTGGTAACGAACAAACATCAGTTAGATAATAAAAAACGGGGAAACATTGTTTAAATCTTTGAGACCACATCTATGCACGTAGACAACTTTATACGGGATCAAACTCAAAACCTAAATGTTTCCAAATGAATACAATACCTTCAAATCACGAATTTGACGTGTCACGTTTTCAACCTCAGTAATTTTATGATATAATGTTACGATTATTGATGGTCATTACTAAAAATTTTTACATTTCTAATACAATCAATGTTCACCGATCACTGCTTCTAACTAGAACCTTGAGAGTTCGCATGAAATCTAGTGTTCAATCTTCGTCAAATTTCTATGATTCTTAAACTGATTTCACACCTTGATAATACCTAGTGTTAATTTGACTAACAAAAATAACATGTAGAAGGTGATTATTCTAAGTATAATTATCAAAATTAGAAATTAATTTTATATATGTAAAGGTTGAAGCTTATAAAGCATAAACAAAAGTAAATATTATTTTAACTTTCTCATCTTCACAATTATGATATTTCAAACTGACTTGATTAATTTTATTCAACATGATTCATTTATTTTCACAGAAATATATCTCGTCTCTATTTAGTCTAGATCTGTCAAAATCAAGTTTATGTACTTGGAAATTCCTAGATTTAAGTATTACACAGAAAAAAAAAAGTTGCTCATTGAAACTCATTTTAAATATGCTTTCTTTTAAAAACAGTCCAATATTTTTATATCGATAAATAGATAACATAACGAGATGATAAATACAAATAACATGTATATGTAAAGATCATATTATCATATTACTTTTCGATAATAATAATAATAATAATAATAATAATAATAAAATTCTACTACTGACTAATAACCCTACTACTAATCTGCCGATTTGCTCACATTTCTAATTTACACAAATTTGATCTAATCTCAAGGGTGTGTCCAACTGAAGTAAATAAGAAAAAAATTATTAGGAAATTAATGATCTACTATTTTCTTTCATCCAATGAATGAAAATAATGTTTGGTATCTGCTTCAATCAAGGTTTATATAAATACCTTGTCAACTGGTTAATATTTTGATCTTTAAAATAATAATTTTGATCTGTTTCTATTATTATTATTTAAAATGTCTTGTTTTCGATCAGAAGAATCTAGAGAACAACAACGAATTAGTCGAGAAATTGAACGTCAATTACATAAAGACAAAAGTGCAGGAAGAAAAGAAGTGAAATTATTATTACTTGGTAAGTTTTTATTGTGAAATAAGGAGTCCCTGGTAATAATTACACCACTTACTAGTGAGGAAACCTAGATGAAGTTAATTATTTGAATTGTAATATTATATGTACGAATTTTTTTGAATTAAAAACCCAGTAGATAAACATTACTTTAAATATAAGTTAAAGAGATCTCTGACTATTAATTGTTTACTTACTGATTTATGCCTGTTATCCCTCGTGGAGAATAGGCTGCCAACCAGGATTCTCTAACCATCTTTGTCTTGTACTCTCTTATTCAGTTATTCCCAAGTGCTATTCGTTCTTTTGATCTCTGCTTCCAATTTCTGGAACAATTTGTTCTTTCCATTTGCCCTCAAGATTTCAAGGTAGTGCTTGCCTCGTGTTACAGTTTGATAACTTTCGTAGTTTTACTTTTCCACCTTCAGCGTCTTTCTTAATTTTATCCTTGGCTACAAGCTGGTTGGCTCTCTACCAGAGTGTGTTTTTGCTAATAATGCCTGGCCAACGGATCTGGAGCGTCCTGCGTAGATAAATGCTTATAGATATCTGTACCGCCTTAATGATGGTTGTAGTGGCTCTCTAAGTCTCAGTTCTTCGTGTTCCAATTGTAGGACTGCTACCCCTGTTTTGGTGTTTCATGCCTGTAAATCTGCACCAGATCCCCGTTGATTATCAACGATACTATCCAGGCACGTTCAAGTTTCCACCTTTTCCAGAGCTTCTCTTTCACGTGTGCTTTGGTTGACACTCTCAGTGGTATATTTTAGGATCGTGTTTTCTCCCCTTGTGAATATTGAGACCTACTTCTGTAGAGACTGCCGCTTCATTGGCTTTCTTCGCGTGCAATTTTTGCTATGTACGGGATAGAGGAGCTAGTTTGCGTCCAAAGTCTAAATCGTCTAGCTGTATCGAAGTTGTTCACTAGCTGTTTTTGCATTAAATTATCTAAAAAAATCAATCATTAACAGAATTCATATAAGAGAACTATTATTAAAGTCGAAAATAAAGCTAATTTATAATTAAATACTGGTCGGCGGCCTATGCTCCATTGGGAGTAACAGACGTAAGTAAGTAAGTAATAATGAAATCATAGATTTGCTCATCATCAATTACATTTTTGTCTGTTCTTTTTTAAGCATTCAGATTATTTTGTAGTGTCCATTAAAACTCAAGGAATAAAGTTAAAATAACATGGTAATAAATAACCATCGAACACAGTAACATAAATTTGTATTTTCATACAAAATTTTGACACATTTTTTAATGATCAGTAATAATTTGGTAGTAAAATTATCATGAAATATTGAGGTTATTTGCATGGAAAAATTAGAAAATTATGCTTTATTTAATTTGAATAGATCCATACCTTTTAAGTAGTCATAGTAAATACCGACACCTGTTAAGTAATACTAACAGTTATTTATCTGAAATTAGAGATGTTTGTTAGTTAAGTTACGCCCTATGGATGTATTATATCCAAATATCTTGACTAGACAAGCTATGAGAGAAATTCTAATAAAACAAAATAAAAAGTTAGAAATCCATTATAATTACTGCTTGAAATACTGATTTGAATTGTGAATGCGTAAAAAAACAATTTTCTCTCTTCATTTTTTTTTCTCAGGGACTGGAGAATCCGGTAAAAGTACTTTCGTAAAACAAATGCGAATTATACATGGAGCTGGTTATACAGACATGGAAAAATATGCTTTTAAAACTTTAGTATACCAGAATATCTTTCTAGCCATGCAAACAATGTGTGATGCACTGTGTGCACTTTCAATAGAATTAGAATATCCTGTAAATCAAGTAAGTTAAAAATCAAAATTTTGAAATAAGTTATTTATGAATTTTATAGTTTATAATTTGTTTTTTACATACAATCATCAATCCTAATAGTTTGAAAATATTTTAAGGTAATATTTACCAGGAATATTAACAATATAATCTATCATAATAATATCATCTATCCACTCAGCTACAAAATATTTTTACTAGTGCCCCCAAATGCCCTGGTACGGCAGAGAGTAAGAAGAGTCCGCTCTCCCTCTCGAAACGCTCTCACATAGTCACACAGCCTTCTCGTACCACGGGTGTTGTTTACGAAATCTTGAGGATGAAAAGCGAACGTCCGGCGTTTTAACCGGGTTGGTGGACACGGAGAGTCAACCCAGGGGAGTTGGAAAACCCTGATTTCAAATCAATGATACACACGGGCTCCAGTATCTTGAGGGAACAAATCGCGTATGAACCAATCATTGGTGAATAGCTACCATGGGACTGCATCTCCTTACGATGCTCCACTGTTTTATGGATCAGACCTTTAAGTCGAAGGTTCTGGTCCTCTGGGAAAACCACCTGCTTCGGTTTAGGTACCCATGCAGTATCACAGCCCTCACACAAATCAAATGAGATTTGTGTGGCGCATATGTATTTGGTGCCTCCTTGTACCAATATCAATGTGTTCACATAAATAAATAGTAAATAAAGTATTATTTAATGTTTAAATGAACCAGAAAAAAAGTAAATTCAATAAATGTTTCAGAGACTAATAATAACAAGTTATCAAGAAGATAATTTTATTTTTAGTTTGTTCGATTTGCATAATGTTCAAAAGTAAACAAGAAGTTTTAGTGAGACTATAATTTACGAACGAACAAATCACGTATAAGATAACAGTACTCGGATTTCGGCGCTAAATTCACGCATCCATTTGGATAAATAGAGTTTTGGCATGATAGATGATGTCAGCTCGTGATAAAAACCCGAAATCTAATTTTTAAGCTTAATCATTAGCTGTAAAATATAATTCTAATTCCTCACACAGGCCCATAGCCCTCATTTATTCCTGGTTGTTAAGTGGACACTCTCAAGGTCAGTCTAGTATCGCTCAAAGGTCGTAGAGTTGTATTAACTTCTCAAATCTTATATATACAACTCAAAAATTCATTTGTTTTCACTTGAAATGGGACTAGGAAAATATAGAACTTATCATAAAAGTTGATCTTGAAGATTCTGTTGAACTGACACCTGAACGTATCAATGCTATACGTCAGTTATGGGCTGATCAAGGAATGAAAGAGTGCTTTGAACGTAGAAGAGAATTTCAATTGTCCGACTCATCGAAATAGTAAGTTAGAAAGATTATAGCACATGGAACTTGTATAATATTTTTTGCAATGATTATTTAAATTTTTCGCTGAATATTATCAATCAAAAAAAATGTTTGAATCCCTTAATATGATCATTACTTTCTCATTAATAAGCAACGGATGTTTATTCACGCAACTATTTGAACACAATCAAACAATAAATTAGGTTGAAGTCATTACAATGTGCATTACAATCCTTATACTTGAACAAATCAGTCATCATTTCTACGTTACTCAAATTAAACTATTTATTTAAGAAAAAAGCTTTTACTTCTCATTCAGATGTAAATTTTTTTTATAGATTTCAAATAATAACCAAGTATCCTAATTACATCATATTTATATGTTATTAACCCACATGGAGTAGCATATAGTTCAACTTCCTGAATATTTGATTTTGCCTAAATTTATCTAGCATTGCTGATTATTTAGACTAATCTTTCATTTAACTACTGAGGAAGTATTTTATTATATTTACCAATCACTTGGTGATAATTAATTTCCGGTTGTCTGATCCCTATTGCTCATTGAATGTCATCGATAATGTTGACAATCTAGCCACTGGGTTGTGTTGATTGACAGATTGATACGCCTTATGTAAAGTAAGTCATTTGGATGAAGTCCATGAAAGCTTTATACTACATTTTATTCTGGCTAGCTCAATAGTAATATTTCTCTCCCTGGTACTGTTTAGTGCTACTCGTAATCGTTACGAAATTATGAGTTACACCATTATTACTGTTATACCTCTTTTAGGAACGCTAACTACAACAAAACGTAAAGTCCAAGCTTCCTAATAACTGCTTTTAGCTATCTTGTAGATGTATTCAGTTTAATTTGTTAAATCATGAGAGATCATAGACAAAATTAAAAGTTAATAAATAAGTAATATGGAATACAGGTGTCTAAACGGTACATAAGTTGATTATATAGATGTATATTTGCATAATATTATATTTTAGTTTGGGCAAAAATATACCATTATACTGTTAAAACATTTAGTTTTATGTAGATTATCTGTAACTAAAACAATAACAGTTTAAAGACAAATGATACACAATAGACAATAACCCAAATAACTCATAAATTCCAAGATGCCCAGTCATTGAGATTTAATTATTGATAGTTACTTGTGCCTATTTTGAAAAATAACATTACAGACGGTTAATTGATCAGATCAGAATATTGATACGCCCAGTCAAAATTAAACATAAAAATAAAAAAATATTTGGCGAAAAATGTTTCTAACTAATTTTCTGTTTTCTATTTACAGATAAAAATTAGACATGGTTACATTGATTTAGTTCATAACACCTCGTTTGCAAAAATGAAAGGAAGCAAAACAGGCTTCGATTAAGTGACCATTAACCGAAAAAGACCTATTCAAGATAACTTACAGAAAAAATTCAAATGTTATAATATCCAAACTGTTTACGAAAAATGACTAATGTTGTAAATCGTCATTAGGATTGAAAAAAATCTTGGAAGTAACTTGATGTTACAACCCTCTACGAATATTAGTTGGCTAGATTACTGAGAGCTTAGATAAATTGTTCAAGTCAAAACAAGCAAAAAAATCCAACGGAATTTTGTCTTCTTACTTTAATAAAAATAGAACATGAATAACTTTGTACATAAAAAATATTTCAAAAATCACATCATGACTTCAGAAACTTATTCAGATTTTCACCTTAGAAGTAAATTAAATAAGTTAATTAAATAGAATGTGCTTACTAGCTTCATATTTCCATTAATTGACTTTGATTCAGGTAAACATACCACGTTACATTATCCATCATGGATAAATACTGACATACGTTCGGCTGGAAATGAAACATACATTGCTTTTGAAGCTTATGATGATGATTTCACCTAACACTGTGATGGAAGCTTCTCAATAGATATTTCTATTCCAGAGAGAAATAGAATAATCGGATACTTTTTTGTTTGTTAAAAATGAGTGTAAATAGAATATTTGTCTAGTCCTCTTGATATTTTAAAAGTTCCTTACTATATTGATGATATGGATCCTGAGATACATCTACAAATTTTATTAAATGGTCAGTCTTTTACAGTATAGCAGTAATATTTAATTTATTTCAGTTCTAAATATTCATCGTTCTTATCAGATAGCGTTTTTAAAACAGGCAAAAAAAATCAAATCACTATAACATATCATAATAACATGTGACCCATCAGAAAAAACAGCCATCATAAAAACTTCAGTTACCAGTCATCAAAAATATTCAAGTAGTTTTTTAATACTTTTTTTAGCTATTTGAACAATTTTGATAGAATAGCTGATCCAGATTATTTACCAAGTCTACAAGATATTTTACGTGTACGTGTACCAACAACTGGTATAATTGAATATCCATTCAATTTGGATTCAACGGTTTTCAGGTTAGTTTTTAAGTTGTTGAAATATTGTAAAGAAAGTATTGGTAAAAAAAGTAATAATAACTGGACTGAAAACTTTAAGATTTCACACAGTGAGAATAAAAGCACTTTTATGGCATAACAACAGAATTCAAACAATGTAACAAATTATATCTAGTATTCAGAAGTCACACTTTTCTAATGAAATGTGAAGTAGCTAGAAATATCAAACAGTCCTTTGTTACCAATCAACAAGGCTTAATTTCTATTCTTAAAATATATAAATCCTTGTATCGACGATGTTTCTTCAATTTACAGTGCTGATGTATAGCTTAACTTATTTCTAATAAATTCTCAAATTCTTCTTCTCCTACCGGTTAGTTATTTGCCAAACAGAATACAAAGAAACTATAATGACACAATTTGAATTACAATTACGCACGTAATTTCGTTAGATGAGCAACGTTCTTTAACGTTCCAATAACATGAATACTGTTTCACAAATTATTACTACTTTTGTCTTAAAAAGAAAATGGAATTACAAATACCGTCACAAGTTCTAACAATATTTGTATCTTATGATGTTACTAATACTATTACTGATTCCATTACTATATCAAGTGCTGTTATTCCCTCCTCTTTTTATGATGATTTAATTTTTTTGAAAAGAAATGAAAAACGTATGGTATCTCAGCCAAATAATTTGAACGTGGAGTTTATTGAAACCGAATGTATTTACGTAAGAAATGATGAGTAGTGGTTAGCAGTGGAATTCAGGACGCACGTCTCGTCCTATTTGGGATTCGTCAGCTGGATGTACCTGCATCTCAGAGTTGATGTTCACTTTGAGACTCTAACGCAGTACCATACGCTTCAAACGCCACCACGTTATCCACTCAGCTACTGAGTCCTGATAGCCACTTGCTTGTGCAATGGGGTGAATTTAAATTCACTTGGTATTGCTTGGTTTATGTTCCCCTGCTAGCCACTATCCATCGTTGCTTACAAAAAGCTTGTGAATTAAGGCAATATCGAGGCATACGCACAGTATACACATATGCCAATAACAAACTGATCAATCGCAGTCCTAAACCTCAATGGGAAGATACAAACCAAACAGTATCAAGTGAATTCAAATATATTTGCTGTTATATATCAAAAGTTTTTTTAGATCGAATGAAAATATAGTATTTGCTTACCATGATGTTATAACATTCTGAATTAAGACTCTACATTTTAACTGCATAGAATATTATAAACTCCATGTATGAAATTGATTAACCACTGGGTATTTGTTTAGTCCTTAGTGCTCATAGAATTATCTTATGTTTAAAATTGTAATAAAGGATTGTGGATGTGGGCGGTCAAAGATCAGAACGAAGAAAATGGATTCATTCCTTTGAAAGTGTAACTTCTATTATATTTTTAAGTGCATTAAATGAATATGATCAAGTTCTTGTAGAAAATAAAAATGAGGTAATTTTTATTTGTAGAAATTTTAAAATATTTTGCAAAATTTCAAAAATATTTTCTATTTATGAAAGTGAGAGAGTCATTTCAAAGATAGTTATTAATTATTCACCATAGAAATTGACCTGTATGTTTTTATTATGTCATCCAAGCCTCATTCATTAATTCACTGTAGTAATTTATTTCAGTAATCTTTTTAGGCATCGTTACCATAAGTAATTTAATAAATACCTATCTGAGAAGTAAATATATATATATATATATATATATATATATATATATATATATATATATATATATATATATATATATATAAGTCAAAAAGGATGAATGTAAGTGCTGCATTTGTGTTTATTTTCATTTGACATTCATATTATGGACAATACATAACTATGAAAATTGTATTTGAATAATTTCAGTGATTGAAACACAAATAATTCCTATGTTTCCTCCAGTAATCTGATGTGAATTTCTCCAAGGGGAATACAATCGATTATTCAAATACAATTTTTATATTTATTTTCTTCTATATACTTGACATCAAGTTTCTACCAAACTATTCTCTTAAATTCTGACAAATATTCATATAATATATATAACTGTATTTAATAATGAAATAGTAATTCATTGTAAATAATTCAAGTACTATTGAAATCATCTGAAAACGAAGCGATAAGCAGTGGTTATTACTGTCCAATAAGTTATCACAGTATCAACACTTTAGGTCTGTTTTACATTGAGATGTTCCGAATTTTTTAAAGAATCGTACGATAAACATACAACTAGTTGCTAAATTCTCAGTGACTTAATTGTTAAGATGTGCTTAAAATTAAATAGCATAGTCTGGTTATCACAAGTAATTTATGATTCAGTAGAATTTGAAATAAAATTCTGAACGTTTACAAATCAACATACTTATTCCATAGTAGTCGTTGAATAATTTGTATATATACCACATTTTGGAGTAGTAAATAATAAACACTTATAAATGACATCAAATGATCATCATCATCAAAGCTGTTTACGAAAACTGTACACTAACTTGAACAAAGGAGAACATTAAAAAAACTCCAAAGCTTATTGTCCTTTAAAAATATTTTCTAATGGTTAATTTCCCTGTAATGATTTTCATGTATTTGACAGTCACCATTATAATTGAATGACTTGTAATTTTAAAAATGTAATAACCAACTAAAGGGACGATTATCAATTTAGAAATCATTCTTAATCTTTACTGAATTTATTCTATGCAATGGTGCCTACTTTAATTTCAACTACTGTGTGTTTTTTGTTGAATTATGAATTAAATTTTAAAGCCGAAGTATTGAGTTTAATTGATAAAACTAAATACTGAACTTTTAGTAAAATCTACTAAGCAAAACGATATGAACATACACAATTGTACTCACACTATCACGTTGCAACCTAGAGTTATCTATAACATTGAAATCAATGAGTTAAGACATTGATATGATTTTAATAATAAAAGATTTTTTCAAAATTATTGCATAGACTATGTCATTTTATTAGGCTTGATATATTTTAGCTTGGTCATAAAAAAGCTTCTGTACTATTATTTTGTTTATTTAAGATCAGCTAAATCTATTTTCGTTTATCAGCTAGAGTTGTAAAATAAGAATGTCATAAAACAAACTTTGTTTGTGACTGATGATATTAGATTATTTTATATTTCATTTACTATTTTGAATGCTGATTGTTTTACAAAATGCCCACTCACTGACTACAGTCAAACTAGCTATTTCAATAATCAATCTTCTTTTTGGCTGTAAAGTACTACAATACCTTAGTTAATAAAAAATGATTGATAACAAAAATTAAACTTTTTAGGTATGCACCAAATGTTTTCCTTTTTATTGAATCGAAAACCTCATCTATCGTCATTTATATTCGGTAATATCAGCAGTAAAGGACTATTTATATGAGCTCATAAAACGTTTTTTGTCTTAATATCCTGTACTTAGGGTTAAGATAAAGATATTCGATATCTTATTGTAAGTCTAAGAATAAAGATTTGTTAACAATGGTTGTTTGTTATGTATTTTTAAATGTTAAGGAATTTTCACTGACCAAGATAAGAACCCGTATTCGCTTAAAAAAGGCTTATAGCATATTTTGCTATAGTGTACTTCATTTGTTCTGTTGCCAGTTAAAGTTCGATAACAATAAAATTGTATGAATTCTTAAATGATCATCTTTTGTTTTAACCCAATATTATTTCAAATCGATGCAAGGTTAATGTTGATGCATAAAATAAATTTTAAAGTTTGTATAAAAACCTCTGTGAAGAGTATGTCTATTACTTAGATTACTTTTAAATTATTCAACTTATGTCTTTAACTCACCCCCCTTCAAGTTACACGGTAACAAAGTGTGCTTTATAAGAATCAAAGAGTACTTAAATTTGCCATTGTTTACCTCTTTGCTTTGGTTATGTTTCCCATTGGTTCGATTTTTGGTCAATAAGAACCAAACAACATCGGAGTGTACATAACAAGTTATGAAACGTATATGGAGAAATTCGAACATTTCACTTCTATCTGAAGTTTGTGCTGATAATGTCGTTCAGAAGAACGATAAAAGCTCCATGACCAAACCATCTGGCATAGAGAACAAAACTCCATCAAAATCATCCACCTGAGCTACAAATCTTCACCATCTCAGTACTTATTTTGTCCGTCTTTTATGTAAAGGATTTATAATCCTAGTGTTATTAACGTTTTATACTAAGATTTTCCGTTACAGGCAAAATGATTAAAATTTTCTCAGGAAATTACTTCATATCTTACAGCATCTTTGACATTTAACACCAAGATTTTTTTGTAAATTGTATTTCAAATGAAAACTATGTTAGAAATTCTGTTCTAATATCATCTTATGTAAAACGTGCAATTTTATACATTTACTTTCACTAATCAACTTTCATAATGAAATTATGGAATGAAATGAATTAGTTTCCTTTTTTAAAGATTTTTTCTTATCTTCGGTATAGATAGATAGTAATAACTGTCATATATTAATGAAGATATTTAAGGCTAATTTGAAGGAAAATATCTATTCATTATCACATGCTAAATTTGTACAGTTAGTGTTGTATCTATTCAATATACACAATAAAGTATTCAAAAACAGATTGATATTACGTCAGTAAAAAAAGTCCGAAAATTCCAGTTATCAGACAGAAAGGTTACCTATTGATTTAAGGAGTAATGAAAGCAGAAACCAGTGGGAATAATGTACACATGAAAAGTTTGAATGTTGATTGCTCACTAAACCAAAAAGAAAGTGGAAAAGAAACAAATAGGTGATAGTATCAGTTGAACAAATGGAAAATGTTCAAAGAGTGGAAAGGATTAAGATCATGGTGAAACGAAGAACCTGGTTTATTGTTCTTAAATACAGGGTTATAAGTTGGTAATTTGTCAAAAGCTATTATGTACATTCATTTCTGACCCACAATCGGTTATATGCCAAAGTGTTTGGACTTTTATTTCAAAATCTTCAAAAATATTTCTAATTGTGCTACGTGACCAAAATTGATTAGATGTTCAAGAATTAACCTATTAAGTAACTTGCGTCCTGTTTTGGATATAGAAATTAAATTAAAAATAAGATACTACGTAGAATCAATAAAATCCGTTTCACAAAGGAAAGTAAACTGGTCGGTACACAACAACGGGACCTAATATAACAACTTATCTTTAACATATCTGTATGCTATACATTGTTTCCCAGAAATTCTAAAAGTCAATCTTGAAAATGTTTACCGTATTATGTGATGTTCAATCCATGATACTAAATAAAGTCTTAAAACATAAGGTACACATTAAGTCTTTTAAATAAAAATGATCAGACAGAATTAATCATGTGTAAAGTTATTATAAACGAAGGAATCTGTAAAGCAAATGACATTTTCTTGTTGAATGTGCAATGTTCATGCAACGTATCAGCTAACATTAGTTTTATTAATTCTTTCAGTCGTCCTATTTGTTTGAATGAAAGGTAAGTTTTCGATATATATAGTATATAACTACCGATAATATCTATTAGTTTGCATACCAAAACATTTAGTACTAATGTTGAAATAGTTCCTTGTTAAGAACACTTTGAAACATTTGTATGTACAGCATGATGAGAACGTTTTTCAATAAATATTTAACTATTTGTGATAATTAGCAGTATTTGAGTTATTGTACGAATTAGAAATCACAGAAATAACGCAATTTAACCAAGAAAGAACAATATGAGCATGAAAGAACGTAGTATATTTGGAATTCGAAGTCAAGAAGTCATCAGGCACAAAGGAATCATTAGTTCATACAAATATCACACTATTTTGATCTCAAATGAAAATTAAATGTTAGTTAAAACATACTTATTTATACATAACTTTGATATTGAAGTTTTTACATTTCGCTTGGGTATTTTGATTGTACATCACCATTTGATTATTAATGAACGGTCGTTAAAAATCATAAGATGGTCAGTTAACAATGTAAATCGTAAAGCTTATCGACTGACAAACATAGAATAGAAATTGATGGGGAGGTGAACATTTTATTTATCGAAGTACGGTTCACTTTGTTTGTGACTGATTTAGGTACTTTTTGTTCAGTTGACGAATAAACTGTCATAATTTTGTAGACAGAATGTTCGTGAAGGTTTGGTTAGTTTAAAGATAGTTTTGTTCAGAAATTGACATTATCTGATGATTTTCAATAGTGCGCAAACATAATCCAACTCAGGCATAAACTACGGATCATATGGCGAGTATAACATGTTCATATTTTTCAATAAAAATCTAATGGCTTACGTTTACAACTGCAGTCAGTTGGTAGCGTACCCTTCAATATTAGCGAGTCACTGATTTGCTCCTAACATGTTTAGGCTTCAGAAATTACAATTTCTTTTGATGAAATAAGCAATGATTGTCTGAAGCTAACTATTTTAAAATAATTAACTAATAAAACTTGTTCAGAATGGCATAAATTTTATAATGAAAAAATATTAACCCGAAATAATTCAGAAAAAAATCGTAAAGTTATATTTGCTAAAATATCGACTAATAACTAGTATGTTCATACCAGAAGGGTCTTGTGGATACTATAGTAGTTTCAATGGTTGAAATCATGAGTCAGTTGAAGTGACTGGCTTCAAGAGGTATATCCTGAAGTTCTAGTGAGAAGTAGTGACCAGGGGAGTTCAACTGGGTTTGTTGTGAGATAGTGACTCATTGAAGACAATGGTGGATGTGTCGCTCAATTTCATGAATCAGTTGAAGTTAGACATTAACAGCGTTGAATACAGGCTCAGCGGTCTAATGCTTAAGCGCTCGCGAGCGAGACCGATAGGTTCTGGGTTCGAATCTCGTGAGGCGGGATCATGGATGAGCACTGCTAAGGAGGACGAAAAGGCCTTTCAGTGCTTTCAGGTTTTCCATGGTGGTCTAGCTTCAATTGACTCATGATCTCAACCACTGAAATTAGTATTCTGTTAAAATTCTAGGCACTGAATTTAATTAATACAATTCCAAGATTCCTAAATAATTAAGTTTCCCGAAGTTATAAAGTATCAAATAGGGATATCTTTTATCATGATATCTATATGTATTTGTATATCCATGCGTGAAATTAAAACCTGAAATGGGAGTTTTCACGAATTATTCTAAATAAATTAAAAATTACCATAGCACATCCTAAGCTTTCATTCACATCTATATGTGCTAAATATAAAACTTACAATGTACTTTAAAAATCAACTAAAAATCATTTTAAGCAAGTTCTATTGACATGGATACTGTCTAATATTACCGTTTAACATTTTCATTAAGTTTGATACTCATTGATTCGTTGTTATTTTGTTGTTGTGCAATTTGTAAAAATTTAGAAATAGAAATCTTATTAAAAAAGATTTGTTCAGAGAAGAGTTATCTTTTCAGTGAATTCATTCCCAAAGCTGTATTTATTTTTGTTTATATGATCTTGCTGATTATATTTCATTTCAATTTTAACATTTTATCTTATCATACTGATAATGTTTTAATACCTTTGTTGATTCTACCTCACTGTTACCATGTTTAACAGAATTTTGTTATCACTATTACTGTAATTATTATCATCCTGAAACATAATTATTTAGATATTTGCTATTGTACAACTTTGAAAATGAATTTGCCGAAAAAATAACTCTTCGCTGAACTAATTCTTCTTAATTTATGTCTCAATGGGTATATACCATTTCTTTAAGAAATCCATAATTATTGAATAATTTATTTGATTGTTCTATACAAATAGATGATTTTTAGTGTTAAAAGTGAATCTTACCTTTGAAAATTCTTTACTGTATAACTAAAGTTTATTTTGAACTATTTTTAATGACTAAATATTAGCGATATGGTTTAAGTATTGTTGAGATGTTGTGCTCTTTCAAACAAATAATTTGATTCTTTGAGACAGCAATGGTAATCATCATAATTGACATGGATTTTATCTTTATAATAGTTGAAAATAAAATATTATGAAATATATTGCTCAGGGTGAATTACTTGAACTGGAACGGAAGGTATGTGAATTTTCATTTGTAAAATTTTTTGACAGCATCTGACTGTGATAAGTCTTTTCTGAAAGTCAATTTATTCTAATTATTTTCATAATGAAGGTTTGTAGAAATTATAGTAATTTAATGGTTGAATTTATGAATCGAATTAAGCTAGACCACCATGGAAAACCTGGAAGTACTGGACGGCTGTTTCATTCTATTATGGGGCTTCTCAGCAATGCGAATTGTTCGCGCGAAGGATTGAAGGTCTTTGGTTCGATCTTCAATATGAGGGTTGCGGTTTCAAACTGATGAGGATTCTCCCGTTAAGGTGAAACACCTGTTCAGGGATTCCAGGTTTTCAGTATCTGAGTGACGTAAATAAATTCGTGATTTCATTAAGTTGTTTTGTTCAAGCATTGAGAAATGGGTTTTTGTCTTAGTATCTAAAGATTAAAATTATTGAATGATAGATTTTAACAAACTTCTTAAATTCTATTTTCAATTCTCTTAATATTTAGAAGAGTTAGAAACAATCTAAATCTATCTAGGACAGGCATTCATTCTTTGTTTATAGTTTTACGTAAACTAATAACAGTCAATGACATAGATTATAGATTCGAATGAATTTTCGCATAGATTCACCTCATGTTATTATTTAGAAATCATTCAGTAAATTATATGGGATTGTTTATTATATATCGAATAGTTGCATTGTTATTGTTTTTGTTGTCACTGTTATACTGTTTCAGACTATTGTAATATCTCTTTTTTACCAATAAACTGTAAGTACTATCGATTTAGTAGAAAACATAATTATCAGATGAACGAATTTCAACTAATATATATTCAACACTATTATATTGTGGGAACTTTAAGGCTATATATATTAGTTTCATATTTGTTTTCATTTTGCAAAATTAATTTATGATTGAAACGATAAGACAAAACTGCGCTTTAGCGTTTATGAAAATATATCTAATTAAAATCTTTATACAAGAGATAAAACTTAGTTGAAACCATTTACCATCTGTTATATCCCGATGAGAATAATGAAAGGTAACTTTTAGGATCCAGTTATGGACCATTACTGTACATATATTTTTATCGTATAATTGTTGAATGAATAAACTATACATATTCGTGTTTCTCTTGTCATAAGCTTTATTTTGACCTATGAACTGTTATTATATGATTGACCATTCTTGAGTTATGCCTTGTCTATCAATTACTATCTCCCTTATTTACAGCCACATTTGGCTAAATGTAAAAATGTTATTGTCTGTTTTATGGTACAATATGGTCTGTTTGATTGGTATATAAACCCAGTATGTTTGAAATAAACGATTCATATCTCAGAGACTGAGATTGGTGTTTCGGACATAACTGGCTGGGCTAGACAGGAAGAAGGATCGACAAGAACTCCAGGCTGCTCGTACGTGTTTTACGCGTCATTGGTCCAATCGATAATTCACTGTTCTTTAAGTGGCGGTACCATTACGTTATACACTAACAGGGCACACAGGCCACAAGTTATAACACAGACACTATGGTTATGATAGTATAGATTATTTCATATTATTCATTTAACTTGAATTTCAGAATAATTACGAATCATGTTTTAGTAATAGTCCCGAATTATACGATAATAGCAAATGATATTACAGCCGATAAACGTAACTCTCTAACTCAATTGAAAATGAAATTTAGTATGTATCTTCCTCTTACAAGCTGGATAATCGTAAGTTCCATTCACGATTCAAAATTCAGTGACCGTTATTCGTGTAGGGAGATAAACATTTCTTTTGACTTAAAGTTGATTTAGCTCTATCCTTATACGACTTACTAATATGATATTCTAGTAGCATTTATCATCACCTTGTTTATAACTACCATGCAGTATTGGTAATATTTTAATCTCCTAGTCACTAGATCATATTACATTTTTATGATATGGTTTGTGGTAACTTATATCCATTTAAGCTTTAGTTAAGTTTCCATATCGTTCTTCCAAACAAAACACCTAAAATCAATACTTTACTATGTCTGCTCACCAGCCAGTTTTCAAGTTTTATTTTATTAGTTTAGTTTAAACAATAATAAATTAACCAATAGTACTGGTTTCTACTCTCACATCTAACTACAATATCATATAAATAAATAAAAATTATAAAGTATATATATATATCTGAGAAACCTCTTTTCTTCTAAATGCTGATAAGACAATTTTCGTGTTTGCATAAAATTTAGGGAAATATTTAGGCAGACAATTGTAATTTTATCTTCATTCTTATCTAATCGTATGAATACGATGTTACTGTATCATGTGAAAAGTACAATAAATTAGATACACAAGCAATTGATAGGTGAATTAACACTATTGTTCCGATATGGGGAAATAAACAGTAGATGCATATGATAAGTTTTACAGAATCAATAAAAAGTTTTATATATCAACCAATCAGAATAAAATTTAACAACTCCATCGATCAGTTATGTCGATAAACAGTTTGATTGTGCTATCTATAAACAAGCGAAAGAATGTAACTATAAAAAGCGTCTATAGTTTTTTGACTTATAACTAAAAACGATAGTTTCCAGCTCATAATTTAATCAACTCATAAAAGGAAATATCATCATGGATATTTTCTTTATATAAGTTGAGACGAGTTCATTAAGTGTTAAATTAAATGAATTTTGAATTATTTTAATAATTTGGTAGTGTATCATATATCTTTAAAACTGTTGGGGAATATTTATAATTCCGGGTTGATGCTCATTCTGTATGTTCTCTTACCTGAATGATATAATTTTAAAGTTATAATTGCTTAATTTACACAGAATTGAGATTTCCGTATTTACTTCACAAGCTTTAAATTAGCTCATTTTATTGATCTTGTCAATGCTTATCTCAACTTTTTAATACCCATCAAAATATTTGTTGTTTTTTCTAAATGGCAGTAAAAAGACAATATAATTGCTTCTTTTCATTCATTGATCATGACGAGCTAAAAGGGTAGGAAATTTGAATCTATCGTTTTAAAAAAAAAACATTTGAAAGTTGTATTTTCAACTACTAACTAAAAACTCATATTTGATTCTCATAGATGATGCACGAGAACATAATAGTTAATAAATACTACTATCTCAAGAAATATTTTAAGCTAATAAGCAATAGTCATAGATTTTAGACAAATATCTTTGTTTCACAATGGTTAAAATTTTATTTATTGCCTGTTAGTGATAGATGATATTTACTAACCATAGTCTAGTATCCAAGGTAAGCCTATTTTATGTTTTATCAAATAATGTTTAGACATCTTTTTACAATGTAAGCACCATAGGAAAATTTAGGCATTTATCCACACGTCGTCAAGTTCTTTTAAATAACTGGTGTAATCACTTGGGTAGAGACGTTTACGATTGACTAACAGTCTTTTTCTGAAATGGTATATCAGTTTATGGAAAAGTTTGTCCGGGTTAGCAAAACATGTTTAACACATTCTAGACCATTAAAAACGTTAGATTGAGATGGCATTAGATGTGTGAATAAGAAAGGACAAATTTTGCAATAGTAAGTTTCGATCAAGACCATTGAGTAAACCAGTCGTTCATCCAAATTTCTGATTGTCCGAAGTATGTGTTTTAAAAGAGATCAACCTTTGCATGGATTACAAGATGTACCTCCTTTAATAGTTTTCCAACTACATTCACTGTTTATCTTGCTTAGTTATGAAAGATGATCATTTACATAATTATATATAATCTTTATGCTGTCTGATTTCCTTTTCATCATTTCACTTCTTTTGTTTTTCGAGACGCTTTTCCTCATTAAGAACTATAATGATTTTGGGTGATGCATCTCTATGATTTCAGTAAATCAATTGAGACAAATTATAAATAATTTATAGTACCAAATTGTTTATATTTAGTTAAATGATGTATATCAACTGATAAATGACTGTTCTAACTTTCACACACCACTCCATTCGTGATAAGTGTTCAGAGTAAGCAAGAACTAGATTACTTTAATCAACATTTAAAATCCTCCTCCTCATTCCCAAGTCTTTAACAGAAAGATTATATATATATATATATATATATATATATATATATATATATATATATATATATATATATATATATATATATATATATATATATATATATATATATATACATAAATTTATTGCTATTATTGCGGTAAATTTTTATGGATAGCAAACCTTATTGTGTACACATGAGTGAACTGCTTGTTAGCTTCTATACAGTATCGTAATTATCTTGTTCATCGTTATTACTATACCGGATGTAATATAGTAACAAATGTTTAGTACAAATTGAATGTAGGGAATTAACAATTCAGTAACTTTAGAAAGTGGTTTTTGTGGGGATGTTTTGTATAATTTGGAGATAAATTTTTCTCACAAACTGATGTTCAATTAAAAACTAATGCATATAAAGAGCATTGGAATGCTTTTTTTCTAGTTTAAAATTCTTTAATTAAATCTGTTTCAACATATTCTGTATAATACAGGCAGAATAAAATGATTATTTCACCCATTTTATTATGTATTTGTTAAGGAGTAAAGTGATTATTGTAGAGAACAAGAAAACAGCATTTAACCACTTCAATATTCATTTTCTGATAGCCGCTGATTATTTTAAAATGAAAACGGTACTTTCGTCAAAAAATACCGTCCATTGTGATTCACTAGGTAAATCAAATGATGAGGTTGTGAATCTTTATCGACTGAGATAGTCGGGCCACGTATTACGCATGCCTGAACACCGATTACCACTTCGCACAATGCTGACTAGTGTTTTGGATGGTTGGAAGAAAGCTAGGGGCACCCAAACCAAAATATGGCATCAGTGCTTGAAGTCACTAATTTTAGTCTGAGCCATGTTGATAGATACAGACTACTTGGTTGGGGTCCGCGTGACTACTGTAACCAATGGTTGGAGACTCTGTGTGACATGACTCAGAATCGATCATAAAGGCTTCGGTGTATACACTCTTTGTCTTCCCTTAAACTATAACAATAAAATCGCTTCATATCTTTCTTTCTACGAATTAATTCTTTCTACATGCACTGTATCCTTATATGCAATATTTCTTTTATATATTACCACCACTAAATTAACTTTTATGAATTTGGTGTTCATCTTGTTGAGCTAATGAGGTATGGCAACTTGGACCGGTGCACATATGTGCCTGGTCCTACGTTGCTGCTGACTGACTGACAAATGAAATGCATTCAGTGAACAAAAGTGGTCTTTTAATAAGGTCTTCTTTCTCTCAATTGGTGATTTTTAGAACAAGTTTTATTATTTTCCGTTCATTTGATAAAATAAATGAATAAATATATAAATCGGTTCATGATGAAACATTCACAATTAAAGAAATTGTTCCAAAGTTTATACACAAAACATTCCAGTAATATTCTCGTTTATAAATATCCCAAACACAGTTGAAAAATATCGCATTTAACTGTTTCTTTTATTCCAAAATGATCACCTACGCTTTATATAAGTAAAATATATATCAGCAATGATGTGGATGGTGATTACGAAACTGTTTTTCTTCTGGTTGGCGTCTTTTTAGCAAGTTTGTTTTCAACGGAATAGGTTACCGACCCCTGCTCAACCCTTCTCCTTCATCTGGGCTTGCGACCGACAGGAACTCTAGAGGTGTAAAAGGTGGAGTATAGAAAAGCTATTATAAAATATTGGAATTTCTTAACATTCATCCTTACATTTGTAGTTAATATGTGTATTGTCATTTCAAGGTACTAATTTTAAAAATGAACTTGCCTTTTACATTTTATAATCTTATACAACTATACTGGTCTAAATTAAATGTGTTAAACATTCAATTCAGAATTTCTTTACAAATAATTAGTGATGATCATGTAATTGTACGGAAGATTTTTCAGAAAATATGATTTTTTAGTAACTTTTTAGTAAGTTATGAGATAAACTCTGTTTTCTCTTCTTTGGATAATCTTAAATTGTTGTGAGTTATTTTTATATAGGACGTCGTTTTTGAAGGTTGTGTAACTGTTATTCAATGTCAAATATCACTAAGGTCCAAGAGACGTACCTTGTCGTCTTTCATATTTATCAGTTACACATGTCTTTATCCAAATGATTGCCAGTGTTCTCTCATGATTGATTGATTTATTCCAGAAGGTACCAAAAACTGGGGATAGTAAACGCGAATTCCAATGGTGTTTTTATCGATATAGATGAGTGACAACAATTTTATTTTTTAATTCCAGACTATCTATAAACCTAATTATGTGTTCGTATGGTGGTATATCTGAAGTAGTTAAATGGATCACAACAACTCTCCTACAATCAATTTCGATTATAGTTAAATTTTCTTAAGCACGTTTATTAACTTACTTAACAGACAATGTTATTCGAGTAGTAACCATTCTCATATTTCTTTGTATTATTATGATCACTGTCAAGAGTACGCTCGATCACATGTGACAGCCTACGCATATATCTCTCTGCCTTAAATGTTAATATCTTAAATATCACTTGATGAACCATTGTCTTCCCTATGCGTATATGTACGCGAATCCTATTATTAGCATATGCCTTGCCTAGCTGCGCCTTATTCGATTTGACTATAAATGTACCTCTACATTTGCTCGCATACACACATTCGCCTCTGTGTTTCAAGTTCGCTCGATGGGATTATAGGTTTGTTATCTGCGCTATCCGCTAATAAACGGTAGTCACCGCTTCTTATTACCTTCTGAATTCAAACACTTGGGATTTATATAATAACGGTTATCAAGGTGATTGATTAACGAAGCTAAGCCACTACAGGATTACGTTGAGTAAATAAATAAAATAAGAAACTAACATGTCATTTGCCTTATATCACTGAAAAACATATAAACATGTGGACTTGAGGCAGCTATATTAAAGATACATTTAATAAAACTATCAATCATTTGCTACAAGCTAATTACAAGATTTGTTGAATACTTAACATAAACAAATGGGAATTTTATTTTTATCTTGGATATTTCAAGAATCGAATGGAAGAAAGTCTTTTACTGTTCAAAACTATTGTAAATTACGAATGCTTTCAATCATTGTCAATCATATTGTTCTTGAATAAAAAGGATATTTTGGAAGAGAAGATACAATATTCACATTTGGTTGATTACTTCCCGAAATTTACAGGTATCAATAAATGGTCTGCAAATTTCTGTTTTCCTTGTATGGTATATTTACAAGCTTAATGTCTACTATGATAAAAAAATCTGTTCAGTTCCTTTTTGATGATCTTACCAATATTTATTGATAGTGTTTATACTACTGAAGATATCTTTCAGTATTGAGTTAATTACTTTACTAATAGACAATATTTAAAAAAAATTAAAATCGAGCTTCTACTATACAGGTTTGCGAAGACTATCAAAGTTGTGGTTTGAAATAGCAGGCTGAATCTAGTATAATGACCACTGAAAACTAGGGAGCAATGGACAGACATTTTAGTACTAGAATGGGACTCAGTATTGCTTTTCTATGACCCTACCAGGGATTGAAACAATAAATTTATAATTTTTCATTACTAATTGAGTTCATTTAAACAATTATTGAGAATATCCAAACTGAAAACCACAAAGAGCTTACCAGTTATTAACTTGGATGTGTGGTCACCGTAGTTTTACTGAGAAGCCTTGACTATTGAATTTTAACCATTTTGAGGAGGCGACGAAATCGTAAATTTATTCGGGTGAAAACGTAAATCTCTGGATCTCAATTCAGTGGTCTGAATTTTAAGCGGTTGTTCTAGGTTCATTCCTACGTGGAGTCAATGATATATATATATATATATATATATATATATATATATATATATATATATATATATATATATATATATATATATATATATATATATATATATATAAGGAGACTCCTACTAGATCAAAACAGTCCTCTCTTACTTACCGTTTTTAAATGCTAAAGTTGGGCAATGATTTGTAATTTCAAATCTAAACCAGCCGTTTTGAATAGGAAAACACAAAACAATAGTAAGCTTTGTGGATGGCACATTCAAATTAGATTTATAAAACTATGAAAAGCAACATTCGTTGTTAATTTTATCATTCACATTATTCGCATCACATATTCTTACTTTTTCGATCAAATCTATTTTGCTCAATAATATACATTGACAACAAAGCAAAATTTAATATCAATTAAAGATGAAAATAGAGTACTTTATTTATTTTTAGGTCCAAAAAACGACGCAATAGCTGCACGTAATTTCATACTAAAAATGTATCAAGAATTGAATCTAAATTCAGGACGACCAATTTATTCACATTTTACATGTGCTACAGGTAAGAAAGTTTTTTAAACTATATGCTGCTTATTATTTGATAATCACTTTTAGTTCAAATTGAGGGTGTAGTACTGAGTAAAATAAAAATTTTAGGATAGAAACATTTAACTATCCTATTCAGCATAATAGATTTTAGTGCTGTATATGACTTACCCAACAATAAATGGTTTTTTGACTGTTGTTAATGTGACTGTGATTGATTTGTATTTGACTCCACTATGAGATTTCGAAGAGATATGAAATACTATAAGATCATAAAATCACCTGAATGAAAAGTGTTCTGATTCGGATAGATAAGATAGTAAATAGATTGAATCGAATCACTCAGCTGAAAACACAATAATGTGATCATCTACTCTTGAAGCAGATTATATTTCTCAGTTGCATGTGTTTACATTGCTAAGTAATTTTCAAAATTTCCAGTGGAATATTACAAAACCATGTCATTACAATGCACCTAGATTATTAGACTAGCAATTAAATGAATGTTCTTTCTCTTGTTGTTCAAAGCGAACTCCAACATCTAATTAGTAATACTCACAATTTTATTCAGATTACAGATGCACTCACTAATTTGACTTACATTTCCAATTTTACATAAATCAAATCACTTTTAATGAATAAACCATTATTGGTTAAGCTACCCATGTAAGGTAAAATCTTAGATTTCTATATCCATATTTGCTTTCAGCACTTTTTAAAGATCATGTAGTCTGTAATTTTATTGTGAAAATCATTAGATTCGTCATTTCACATAACTGAAATATGCAATGTAAAATCAAATAAATAATCGTTCAGCATTTCATTGTTCATATATAAGTATACATTTTTTCATAATTTCAGATACAGAGAATATTCGTGTTGTTTTCGTAGCTGTGAAGGATACTATACTACAAACAAATTTAAAAGAATTCAACCTTGTTTGAGTTTTACGCGCCAGAATAGTGGATGTTGTCATATAACTAGAATTCAATGTGTACTATGGAATTCTTGACCATTTCAAAAATATATTCCTCATCAAATCATAAAAAAATATGATCTTATTGCTTTTCTTTCATTCTTTTAAAATCTAAATGTTACGTTGGTTTAGTTGACTAATAAGGTTACTGAAAGGAACAAATTTAACAGAATAGTAGTTTACTTACTAAATCAGAGGTGGGAAAATGTTTTATTTACGAGTTGCATGAGCTCATGTATTTCTTCAACCAGGTAATATAGACAATAAACTTAAGTGGTTTGGATTTATTTAAACTCTGAAGTATCTGAATATGCATATGAGACAATGATAATCGGAATAAACTCTACTATACAAAGTTAATATTATTATTTAATGCCTAGTCTAATATCTTTAACCTGTTCACTAATGCTTGAATTCATTAGCTCCGGGTGCTATAACTGTGACGGCAGATTTGAGGGTAGCGAATTATCGATCGGACCAAAGACGCACAAACACGTAGAACAACCTAGGGTTCTGATTGGCCCCGCTTCCCTGTCTAGCCCAGCAGTTGAGTCCAGAACGCAAGTCTCAGCCTCGGATATATGAATCATTATATTTCAAACATACTTTATTTATATACCAGTCAAGCAGACCACAACGTACCATAAAATAGAAAATAACATTGTACAATATTGACCAGTAGGAAAATAACACGTGAAATAAGTACTGACCAATAAGAAAATCATACCATGTCCAAGTCCAAGAATAGCATTAGACTTAATAGGATAATTTCTGGGATATTTTCCTGAATATCCCAACACCGGGATGTTAGTATTTGATGAAATCTGCAAAAAAATACAGAAATCTCTCTTACTAACCTACACTACCGATGACACAGGCTAGATGTCCGTCTATAAACTAAGATGATAGTATGCTACGCAACAGTATGTTTTGTACCTATGTCATAACAACACCTTAACAGGTAATGTAGGCTTGAGTTGGAGTTGTTTGGAAGAAAGCCGAGTTTGTTCATACTGAGGCACAGTATCGGTCCATGAAGCGATTAATAAGTCTGAGCCTTACATGAATGTTCAAATTTTCTGATTGGGGACATCCGTCTATCAACCAAAGGACGGGTTTACTGTGCAGCAGTACGTCCCGTCCTACTTTATGGAAGTGAAACATGGCCGGTAAGAGTAGAGGATATTCGTAGGGTACTAGTATTCGATCATAGGTGTCTTCGAAACATTGCTCGTATATCATGGGACCATCGAATAAGTAACGCAGCTGTTAGGAAACGGGTACTAGGTAAGGATGGCAAATCAATTGATGAAGTAGTGAAACTTCATCAGTTGAGATGGCTGGGACACGTGTTACGTATGCCCAACCACCGACTACCTCGACGTGCTATATTCAGTGGTATAGGAGTAGGTTGGAAGAAAGCTAGGGGCGGCCAGACCAAAACATGGCACAAATCCATGAAGTCACTGACAAGTGGACTGAGTCATGTTGGTAGGTGTAGACTACCTGGTTGGGGACCGCGAGATGATAGCAACCGATGGTTAGAGACCCTGAATGACATGGCTCAAAATCGTTTGCAATGGCGCAGGTGCATCCACTCTCTATGTTCTCCCAAATTCTAATCTGAATTCTTCATGTCCCTTTTTTCCTCTTTCCAAATTTATTTCACTGGATTATACTCGTTAAATAACATCTCCAAACCCTAATCTTCCCGATTACTGCTTATACTCTTGCTACCTCTACCACTACGGGATTTGAATCGACCACTGCATCTCTGTGTTAAGGTGGTATGGCAACTCGAACTGGTGTACGTACGTACTAAGTTCTACGTTGTTACTGACTGACTGACTGATTGGAGACTGTTTAGTACCTATAATCAGTAGAGATACATCGAGTGATATAGTGTAGTTCAGTTCATCCTCTACCTTCGCGTATTGATTTCAGTACATGTTATAGACTTGAAACTTCTCATATGAAAGGTTATGGGCACTGGTTTAAATTTTTGGCGCGATTGAGGAAGTATTTTACCTCAAACTATTCAGCAGGTCATACATTCAAGTGTGACGCACTATCGTCTTTTAAATTCTTTGCTCGATGAACATTTACTTTCAGGAGGAGTTTTGTAGGTATTATAGTAATTTTAATAATTGAGATCATGAGTCAATTAAAGCTAGACCACCATGCAAAACCTGGAAGCACTGGACGGCCGTCTCGTCCTACTGTGAAAATCCTCAGCAGTGCTCATCCACGATCCCGCCTCGCGAGATTCGAACCCAGGATCTGTCAGTTACGTGCGCGAGCGCTTAGCCATTAGGCCACTGAGCCGGTATCCAACGGTGTTAATGTCTAACTTCAACTAATCCACGAGATCGAGCGACACATCCACTATTTTCATCAATGAGTTACTACCTCAACTAGTAAAAGAACCTGTTTGATGGGTTATGCAATGGATGTTTTTAGGAATAAACTACAGATTACAAATGTACTTTTTTTATATCATCATAAATCCAGTAAAATATCATTACCCAGATTTTACTTGTGATAACCGTAATAGTGATACGTAAGTCTACATTAATAAATGCAAAACAAAAAAATCCATACACATCGTTTAGTCAAGAAACAGTGTTTATAGACAGTGCGTAATAATAAGTGATTTGTTACAATTTCATCATTTATCAAAATGGAAATTTATGTAAAATGATTTTGTTTTTGACAGATTTCTTTTTATATATCTTTTGTATTTTATACGTATTACAGCTAAATAGTATCCCACTGTTCAAATATACCAGAGGCTAGTCACAATAAACGTCTACCATCAACTGCATTAATTTACTCAAGTACTTTGAAGAGTGAAGCTATTTTCCAAAAGAAATAGCCGAATCGCTCATAAAAATGGGTTTTACTAATACTTGTAAGTTATTTATGACGCAGAAATGTTAAATTTTAGATTGTTGGAAAAGTTAAACTGGGAAAATGAATAACTTGGTGCCGTCTGGTTATGAGTCTAATTTGAATGAACTTATGGATATGCTCTTCTATTTAACTCCGTCTATTACCTAGGCTGACATCGTTTGTGTGACGGTGGTAAGAAGAAGCCAAACACGGGTGGCGTTAGAGGGATTTATTCCAGGCATTTGATTATTGGGACAGAGATTCAGAATAAGCAGCGGCTAAACAGTAGAGAAGGCGAGTGAGCCAAATCCATTTAACCGAGCATGATGCAATATTCATAGTCAGTCAAAAATAGGTTACAGACACGTAATGGATAGGGTAGGCAGTACACACACACACAAACGATCATACAAAACAGTCAACGCTAATAAACAAATAATTATCAAGGTCAAAATATGGCTCGAGAAGAATGAATAGATTGATCTGTCCAGAAACTAGAATAGTCTATATGGGCTTCACATAGTACCAGCCTCAGCAAACGTATTAATTCTACTCAATTTACAGACATTTGACACTACTGGAAAATGCCTTAAAAAAACGATGGAGAGTGGGAATTTGTTTACAACGTCGACTTATTTCTCTGCTGTTTGAGTTCAATTAGGTTTGAATGGTTTAATTCTTTTATCCTAGTTAGCGTTCTTTTTTAGCAAGGTTGTTTTCTACGTCATGACCCTATGCCCAACTGACCTCGTTTACCCAGGCTAAGGAACGTCAGTAATCCTTGAAGAGCTACAGGAGAACTTCATAAATGGAAGGCACTAATATAATCTTAGACATTCTACCTTTAGAGGAAATAAATTAGTGATCATCTCAAAAATATTAGGTTTTGATTGAACATTAGATCCTTAAAACTATCTCATCGATATTCCACAGATGTATCTACCTCCCAGTGTTTTGTACATAGAAATTCGAACTCAATATATCTTGACTTAAACGTTTACTAAAAAATTGATTCTGAGTAATCTCTGTTTTGTTCAATCATTGTGAAGAAATTAGTAAGAGTTTGTACTTTCATTTTGTGGCATGCAACAAAATATAAACTACATTATTGAGTGTAGAATATGTATGTAGTGAAAGTGGGTAAGTACAAGAGGATAGATGAACATATCAACACTAGTTGAAAGTAAATTAAAATAGTTTAGGATTAGGTCCGAATTTATTTACCTATCTAAAATGATATTTTTTATACAAAGAATCATAAAATTGCTGTCATTTAACAATAGAATCAGTATATTATGGTTCAATAAAATGGAACGTGGTTACGCTTCTAAACGAATAGTAATAATTATCTAAAATGAATGTTTTGACAATATATTAAGGGAAAAGACTATTTTTACATATGATACTTTGTTCACTGAAAGCAGTTGTGACTTAATCGTAGATAACCGACGATTGTTTATTTACCTAATCTGTTTAGATTTAAGAGATCACGTCTTTCGACTCATTCAGCATGACTATAAACAAACCAATATGAGGTCGTGGTTAGTGATGAACTTTATTGGAATTATGAATCGATCTAAGATAGTGAAAGCGTTCTAAATGAAGTTCTGTATTTATGAAACTTCGATTTGCAGTATATTCATTTTGACATCAGACACACTAAAGGGAAACACCACAAGTTATTTTTGAATCTATCATTGAACTTTCCCTTTACCAGGGATATCGTTTGTGATTTTTCTTAAGGTTTTTCCTTAGATTAAATAAATTGAGCTAGTAAGTAAATTGTATTCCCGCGAAAATATCTTAACTCAGATAAGCATATGGTCAGTTTTAGGAACATAGAATGTTTACAATGAAATAAGTTTACTTATTATAGTTAAACAATTGTCACTTAGGATTCCTTGATTGTTTTTTATTTCGGTAGTGACTGCAACTATTTGCTCATGGACTAAAAGATAAGGATATATGTGTTCACATAAACAGGAACTATATAAGAAGAGGAACATTTTATTAAACTTGCTATAGGTTATTTCTTATACAAAGGTATAATCACCCTGATTATCACATGATAACTGATTATCAAACAAGTGGGGATAATTACCAAGTTTTAGGGAAATACCGAAGGCATAAATCAATAACGGTTGTTAAGCTTTACGTCATACAAAT